CAAGCATCTCCATTCGTTCCACCAGTGTCAAGTAGTCTTAGTACGGCTAGTAGTAGTACCGCAAGTAACGGGGACGTTAGCGGAAAACCAACTGTGCATTATCCTAGTCAAGACCCTTCTAGATTAGGCGCGACACAATTGTTAGCTGATAGGCAGGAATAGTAACGAAGCTACGAAGATCATCTTCACTTAGAATAAGAACAATGTTATAGAAGATATGATAATAATAAAAACAATGCGTTTCTGATCTTTTATGGCAGGCAACTTGGTTACTAATTTTGTTATGATAATTGTGGCAAGAATTCCAGAACAACAAACTAAGAGAAAGTCTTGGAAAAGGCAAGCAATTTGGGTATGGTTTGGGTTTTTTGTTTAGTCAAATGAAGTGAGCTGATCTGATAAAAAAACTCCTGCACTTAATTTTGCATCTCAAAAAAAGTTAATAATAGGATTTGGTAGGATTAAATTTGTCATGGGAATGGCATGCTCTAGATTTCATAAGTTTTCTAAATATGGCTTTGCAAACAGTTATTCCCTATCCCGAATAGTTGCAAATCACTGATTTCCAATATTTTGTTGTACCTAACATTGAATTTGCCATACAAAGCCATGTAATTTTCCGTTTTGCTCTTAATAGAACCATCAGACCAAAGATCATCAGTTACATCCTGTACAACTTTTATTAATTCTGACTGCAAACAATAATTTGGATGTAAGTATATTAATCAAAGATCAAGATTGTTGATTCGTAGTATTAAGTTCTCCATAATAGACAATGATAATAGTTTGTTTGTTATGATCGCCCATAGAAACCATAATAAAAATCCTAGTTTGTTTTTTTAATTAATTTATTTCTCAACGTAATCACAAGATTGTTGAATAATTGCACTTGACATTGTATCAATTTCACTTTGCACTAATATTTTGTTTTGCTGTAAAGTGTAATTAACGTCATGCTCCTTGGACTATTTGAATTGGATAATAATGAATTTTAATACTAAGCAGGGCGAGTTATTTCGAATATGTGATATTGAAATCTCAACTTGTGCATCGAGGGTAAAAGTCCAAATAAGCCACCTGACGTATATTTGTGTGTGGATTTGTTTTTATGTGTCCCATAAAAGTGCCACCTTGGTGATACCCTATTGCTAATCGATTTTTTTACTTAACCCTTGGTTGGTAGGTATTGGTTTTGTGGCAACCTTTTGTTAAGTTGGTGCAAGTATATATCACCTCTCGAAACCTATAGGTATACGTAGTGGTGTAGTAGTCAGGGAGACATTTCTGAAAAGTGCATGTCTAACGGCGTTTTGTGCTACAAACTGGCAACAGGCGGCTAATTTGCCCCCGCTGAAAACGATGCACCCTGTTGCCAGACCCGATTTTGGCATTTAAGCCCTTAAATCCACGATGGCGGCCGTTTTTCGGTTATGTTGAGCCTCACCAAGGCACGCCACTGAAAGTTTTGGGTAGTTTAAGGGTAGAATAACATCTAGTACGCACGACGACACCGTTTAGGCACACTTTCGTATTCATAATAGGGGCCTAAATGCCAAAACTCCGCTTAAAAATGTCAAAAATGCAAACATTCGTCTTTTTTTTCTGGCCGGTTTTCGGGGTCCAATATGTATTCATATGGTCAAGTTAACATTTAAGTATGTGGGGACCTCCTGCAGCGCCATATGCCTGGGGCCTAAATATCAAGATGGGGCCTGGAAAGTCCAAAAACAGTGAAAAAGTCGTTCTTTTTCCAGTATTTTTACTACACTGGCCACACATTCCCCATTTCGATGGCCTCTAGCAATAATATGCGAATTGCGAATATCATTCTGGATGTTACACAACTGAAGGGCTTAACTGCGGAAGTGGGGACTCGTCTCCTATAAACTTTAACTATGGAACCAAGAGGCAGAAGTTGGTTTAGCGGCATAATTTGAGGGGAAATATATTAAAATATGAATACATATTGGACGCCGAGAACCGATCAGAAAAAAAAATTACGAATTTTTGCTTTTTTGACGTTTCTAAGCGGAGTTCTGGCATTTAGGCCCCTAATATGAATACGAAAGTGTACCTAAACGGTGTCGTCGTGTGTACTAGATGTTATTCTACCCTTAAACTACCAAAAACGTTCAGTGGCGTGCCTTTGTGGGCTCGAAATAACCGAAAAACGGCCATTTTGGCCGCCATCTTGAATTTAAGGGCTTAAATGCCAAAATCGGGTCTGGCAACAGGGCGCATCGTTTTCAGCGGGGGCAAATTAGTCTAGAACCGCCTGTTGCCAGTTTGTTGCACAAAACGCCGTTAAACATGATTTAGAGAGCCTTTTTCGCAGAAATGTCTCCCTGTCTATAGTGGAGCCGGAGCGCTTCTCCGGCACTGCTTGTGAGAGGGGAGCGGCGCTCTGGCACAGGATAGGAGACGGAGATAAGATAAGTGATGATAACTAATGATATTTGCGACTTAGATAGAATTATAGTGACTTTGGTTAACAACGTAAACTAAAGTCTGTAATATGGTGTTTGTTCATAACGTTTAATAAACAAATAAAAAGCCAACCGTAAAAACAAACTTGAATTTTTATTATTTTTTACACCTTTAGAGCAATAATTTATTCAAAAATCTATGAACTGAAACTGTTTGCAAACCCATTTATTTTACTGCAAATTTTTAAATTCCTGGACCCCAATTTTGCTTGGGGGGGGGGGTGTATTCGATACCCTTGGTTGCCTGCATTTTAAGGACTCCGGCACTACTAAATTTGGCACTACACCACTGGGTATATGCTATATATTTTGTTAATAGTGTCGTTATAATTTTATGTTATGCATTTTACATTATTAGTAACAATTAATTTTGCTACACAATTTAATAATAATTTGTCTACTGTTTTTTTTTCTTAGAAGTTCTTTTTTTTCCCCAGCGTATTTTTATTTTGTGAACAATATACATTGCATTTTGGACGCCCGCAAGTAGATACTTGCATTGAATGTTAAAAACTAAATTTAAAATTAAAAAGCCCTAGCCTAGGAGAGGCTGAAAAACGAGCAGCACAAGCTGAGTTAATGATTCATAAAAGAAGATCTAAGAAATTCTACAATGCACTGCAAAATACCATTTCCAAGATTCATTCGCAATGTAATTTATTTCGACACAATTTCCGAATTTTCACAATCTTCATAATAATAATTATTAAACAAACTCTTCACAATTTCAGTATTTTATTTTACGTTCCTTCCCTACTGTACTTCAGGTCATAGCGTTGTTTACAACTAACATCAGGGGGCCCTGCTTTAGATGTCTGATCACGTGCCACTTTTCGATTTCAAATTTAAGCGGGATCTGTTCAAGGTTGTTTTATTAGAAAGGTTGTCTGGTAACTCTAAACCAATAGAATGCTTGCATTTTGAAGGCGGGAAAACGTCATCCAGAATACACATTTAAAATTGCTCATATGTTACAATGCTAATATAAAAGGGGTAAAAAATATAGTTTTTGCTGTATATTTTTTATTTATATGGGTATATGTATATAAGGGTGGATCTTATATTGGAAATCTTGGAAGTTTATCGATGTCCACCTTTGAAAGCAATCAAATAAAGTATTGAAAAAATGAGTGTGGTGTGTAAGCTGTTTTACATTACACGAGCACTTGTGAAAATGTAATCAAATTAATTTTAGAGGTGGAAATGGATAAAATTCCGCGATCTACAAAATAAGAACCACCCCTATGTATTAATACCTAGGCTTTGGGAATTAAAACTCTAAACATTCTTTAGCGGATGACGCCAAATAAAATGCTGTTGCGTTTTATGGAATATGTCTATTTATAGTATGTACAAAATGGCAACCGAGGTGCACACGGCGAGCTCTGTCGTTGGGGTGAGCCCAGATACAGGTCTTCTGACTGATGGAGTGTGGCGCGAGGTTGAGCTGGCAAGGCGACCTGGTTCTGCAGGTGGAGAGCTTTTTGTTTCATGAAGTGCAGTCAAAGCAGAAATTGCGTTGCACTTTGCAGAGTTCGTGCCTCTGCTTTTAAACGTTTGCGGCCAGGGACGCTAGCTACGCTTTCATTGGTTGGCCGTTTTGACCAATGAGGGCGCAGCACATTTTAGTTTGCTGCAGGATGTGAAACATTTTCTTACCCATTCTTTAAGAACGGTAGGGTCTTTGGGAAACGTAAAAACCGAGATTTTATTTACACCAGGATGAGGAATTTTAGTGTTACCGCCACTCATCTAAAAAAATACTTAATTATAAAGGTACAAAAGTACATTGATGAACTAACCTTTCAATCACGGCTATGAAAACCCAAAAAATTTACAAACTAAATGTCTTTATATTGCACCAAACAGGTATCTACAGCTAACATGTCCTTATGCACTTCAAAAATCAACAAATTTTAAACAAATAAACTATAACTCAAGAAAAATAAGCACCCGCGCGACTACAAACAACGTTGAACGTCAATGTCTGAATTCTCGATGACGTATACATTCCGTCCCTCCCGCTTTCGTCCACACAGTTACCAGGTAACCTTTGAAATAAAATAACCTTGGGATCTGTTTAGTTTTGGAGGGGGCCATTTTTAAACGAGGTGACTTTATTTCCCTGTTCTTGTAGTGTGAAGTTAGGGTACAACCTAGGGGTGAAGTACGACGATTCAAGGACACAAAAGTCCTCTTTTTTCATATTACAGTGAAATCTGCAATTGTGACATGTTGGCGTTTCAGGGTTTGGAAGTTAAGATATTCCAATATTTGTTTCAAATTTTAAAGACCGTTTGACTATACATCACATTCCATTATGGTCACTTGAAAAAATAATAGTATCGAGGCCATGATTGTTACATGAGTGATCTCAGTAGTTGATAGAAACTGATGAGCTATTGTTACATTGTTTTATTATTTATTTATTTATTGTCCCTCTAGTTCTATTTCGGTGAACAATAGTTTATTCAAGTCACTGTATGAAGAGGAGTTCTGGAATGACAACTTTCATTGAAGAATATGTACATATGTATATTAAAACAATAAATAAAACGTTACAATGTGAATAATTTCCAAATAACAATATGTTATAGCCTTTATCTTCTAAGACAACAAAATTGATAACTAGAAATACACTTAAATCACCAAGTTTAAAACCAATTACAATAATTGAGATAACTCACCATTGATCTGTGCGGCGATCAACAGAATAATCATGTAAGGAGGGACTTGCAATGAAGGCAAAATTAATCCGGAGTCATGGCGGAATGTGAAAACGATTGCAAGAGTAAAAAAAAAAGTTTGCGATAAACTTATTGTTAATGTAACACAATAAAGGGCGTACAAACTGAATATATTGTTACTTCACTTGTGTTTTTAAATGTTGTAAAAATTCGTGGTAAGATAATGCAGTTTCTATTCGATCCTCAATTAGACGTTCGATAAATAAGCTTCTATTCGGACTATTTTCCTTAATAATTTGAAGAGTGGCGACGAACGGCTTCTCCTCATTTAAAGAATTAATAAAACTGTTCAGTCTCTGATTATGAAGCGTGTCTAAAATTGGCAAGTCGTACATTTGATCGGTAATCGCGTTGTAATTCGGGACACCCAACGCCTCGTTAAGGAAAATATCCGAAACGGACGGTCCGACCAAGATAATCATGTGCTCGCCCGCGTCCATAAGAAATGCCCCTTTTGAATCTAGAGATCTCGCAGACAGTTGTAGTTGAGGCGGTTGGGGAATTAATTCGCCGTCTTTGGAGATTGTGTTTTGTTCTGGTAAATTGTGAATGGGGTATAAGTCCGGATAGATTTGCTGTATCAGTAGATATAGGGGTAAGGTTTTCATGTCGCACATTGCCTTAACCCGGTCATCCAGGCGTGTCGAGGTTCCCGTTCGGAAAGCGACAAATTTCAATAGGGCGGATATATACAACGGTAAAAGTCGGAGACTGTTCGACACCTGTAAACCGCTGCCTTCGCCGGTTCCCATATTTAATGACAATTTGTAACTGGAGAGGATGTCTATGGCAACATTGAGAAAAGCCTCTCGGGCGTCTGCTAGACTAGATTGCATTGATCGGTCCACGGCCATTTTTGCTAGAAGTCCAACTATACATTGTTGATCTGCCGATGCAAGTATATCGGATAGTGTGGATGCGACAGGAATACATAATGTGTGCACTCTGATTCGTCGTTCTCCCTTGCTTGACGTGTACAGAAGTGCGACTTGGAAACAGACCGTGTGTAAATCCGACAAGCTTTCGTCTATCGACACCTGCATACCAAAGCCGGCTTCCGGATTAACATTGGGCAATGATAATAAGTCGGTAGATCTAACAAAAAAGTTGCCGTGGAACGTATGAATCGATAATCCTCTGGTGCATCGAATTCTCATCACGGCTTCGAAGCCAATTTTTCTGGTTAAGTATCGTTTCAAGCTTCTTTCTAAGTGTTCCGCTTGAAGAGTACGCGATGCCTTGAAAAGAGGAAAATGATACATACAGCCCCCGCTAAATCGACTTATGCCGGATATTGTGGCCAAATCCACGTACTGAGAGTTCAAAATAAACAGATCTACGGCAATTTGTTGCCCGCTGCATTCCAAAGCCAATCTCTTATAAAAATCATTGGCCGGATTTAAGTTGTGCACTTCAATCCCGGCACGTTGATTGGGATCTTCTCTAACAGTCAAAGCACCGGGTCCAATCGTCGGTAGTGTAGCTTGAAACACGGTGATCCGACCCCCGGTGCAACTGATCAGCTTGTGTGCGGCCTGCAACGCGGCACCTAACGCTGAACCGGTATCGTGACTGCTCAGAAATCTTGTAGGCAACTGAGCTAGCAGATCCGTAACCAATTCCTTACGTTCCGACAAATTAACAACTAAATTGTCCGGACAAGGCAAAAACACATCGTCTACGTCTAAAACTATCATCTCATGCGGTTGACTCAGACCTTCGGCAAGACAATAAAAGTGTAAAGCAGAATTATACGCGATAAATCCGACCTGCGTCCTCGCATCGCCCGGCATATCCGACAGGCACGTTGTCAACACATTGCAAAACGTATGTAAATAACCGCTTTCGATAGCTGCATGGGACACATCCAGAAGAAACAAATACACCGCGGGCTGCGGCGGTCTCAGCATGTACTCCGACGGTGCGATATACTCGATGGTACTCGACTTAATCTCCGGCCTCCTCGACGGATCACCGTAAGTTTTTGTAACCGGATCAAACTGAAACTCCTCGGGTAGCTCGTTCACTCGATAGCACAAATTACACTTCCAACGTTTCATATCGACGAAAAACACAAACGGATTGATATACGTGCGGCACGCCCGACATCTCACTATCGTAGAGCATTGAATGACGGGTAGGTGATCCAGATCTTTGAAAGGATGTATCAAAATTCCCAAAGGAAGGCGGGATTTTTGTAGTAGCGAACTCGTTTCGGGTATTTTCGTCATGGTACAACGAAAAATGTCCGAACTGCAATTGGCGGCGTCTAAATAGTCTTGGCCCAAATGTATGCGTGGCGCTTCCACCTTGTTCGGCGGTAAAATGTTCGGACATTGCAGCAAGTCGAAATTCTCCTGTCCCCACATTTTGTTAAATCCGGATTGGACAATATTTGCTGGCGGCGGCATCCTTTGATTCTGGAAGTTTTGCTGCATTGTACCACCAAAATTTTGATATTGTGTTGGTAGATTGGTTTGAAATTGAGGAGCTGGTTGGGGATATCGGTTTGTTTTTGGAGGAACTGAAGTTTGTTGTTGTGGTGGGATTGATGGTTGCAGAGGAATTTGCGGTGGCTGGGAAACTTGGGGCCCCATTGGTGGATAACTGGGTCGTACTGCCGTCACCCTGTTGTTTGGACGAACACTATTCAATTGTGGAGCGGGTAATGCAACAGACTGATACATTACTGGAGCCGGCTGCGGTCTCAAAACTGATGGATTGTTAAATGGTGGAATTTCAGGTGGGCCATTTGCTACCGGTTTTTGAGTATATAAATTATTGCTTTCATTTGGTTTCAACGGTGCAGTTTGAGATTGATTCACAATAGGTGGAGGTTGGCCATTTGTATAACTAGCATTTCTTGCATGTGCATGTGCATTTTCAAAATTATTTGGTCTAGAATGCATAAAAGTGTTCTGAACACGAATCGGGGATATTCCTTCAGAAGAAATTTCAGGTTTACTCGCATTTACCAGAGGTGTAGATGTGCCAGAGGGTTGAATTTTCGGACTTGTATTGGGCGTCATATGTGAAATATTCAAATTAGCATAATTTTGTGTAATTTGGCCGATATTACTTCCAGATTTCGCAACGCTTGGCGGCAATTGAGACATAGGAATAGCTGATCTCGATGGTGGCAATTGTGATGCAGGAATCTGTTGCAAACGATCAGCTGGCGAGCTTGTTCTTGAAGAATGAGAAGAATCAACTCCATTGAATGGCAGTACGGTGGGAATTGTGTTCGATCTTCCAAACTGTGGGGGCAAACCATTCGGTAAAGATTGTTCGGGAATATTAGCTTGCGTGTTCATCATTTTACCTAAAAGAAATATACAATTAAAGCAAGTTCTACTGAACAATTCAGGGAAAATTGCGTTAATTTTACCAACCTTTGATCTCAATTAATGTAAGAAGCAAATTAATGGTTACTCTTTTGTAAAGTTCTAGTTTAAAAGGGGTTGTATGTAAAATACGAAAATTTCACCATACCTAAATGTATTATCACAAATATGTTTTAATAGAATTTTCAACAGTCATCAAAAAGTACACATTTTATATTTAATTTGCGACAAGGGCATTTTCTTGGTTGTCAGCTTGTCACTGTCAATCCTACGTGGCCGAGCGATTGCAGCGCCTCCACACTACAAAAATTCCAGTGGCGTACGCGTTCCAATCACGTAGAAACGCCTGCGATATGCAAAGGACCCCCTTGGACTTTTGCAAAGCGTTAGAGAAATTTCTTTCACTTTTTTAAAACACCTAAAGTAATTTCCGGAGCTTTATATGTGCTTGATAGAGCAATCTATCTGGCTCCCAGAGCACTTTAACTCGTTTACAAGGTATTCTGGGTCATTGATTGACTTTTCTAAACCTTCTGTAATAAGCGTCTCAGACCCCTGTCTAAAAGCTAAAACCATACAGTTATTTTCTAGGTAGAATTATAGAACCATTCCAGTATATACATGCATAGGCTTGCCTAGTACTGTGCAGTTCAAATAAAGTTCAAAAAAGGGCCAGTGGGAGCATTCCAAGGAAAGGAAATCGATTCCTCCTGAAACTTGGTGGTCCGGGGAGTATGGATACCCTTCGGCGCCACATTCTCCCCTCCCCTGACACATTCAGAGTTTAGAACTCGCGTGCGTAGAATATGTCACCCATAAGGAAAAGTGTTATGAGCTATGCCAATTGATTTAAACATTTTGGGTCATGGTATGGGATCACGAAAGAGTTTCCCAAAAGCAACTGAAATGGTAGTTTTCTGGAAAAGGTAATCGACTCGTTTTGCGCTGGGTCAGGGGCGGACTGGGTACTTACGGGCCAGGTGGAATTGCATAGGCTACAGGCGGGGGGGGGGGGGGCTCTGAGGTGCACCACAAAAACATTTTAAAGTACTCCTTTCTCGAAAATCAATTACCATACAGTTTTTTTTTAAATTGCAGCTGATAATTAAAAGTAACAAAATATACAATCCGAGGTGCGCCGCCTATCATTGTATTTCAGCACTTCATGCTACGACAAAAAATGATAAATTCATTGTAAAACACTTCAATTAAAACAGAATTTTTTAACAACCTAACATCAACCCCAATTAGAGAAACGTGTTAATAATTTATTAATAGTGCAAGAAACTAAATACAGCACATACTTATAAATTTCCAACCGGCCATTACGATCTACAGGCCAGGTGAGCCCCGAAAAAAAAATTGTCTCAGATCGACCCGGAAAAAAATTTTCTTATAGAATGTGGCCTGTAGAATCCATAATTTCAAACAATTCCAAGATTGGGCTACTAGTTCAAAAGTTACAGCCCTTTGAATTTTTTTTCGAAATTGGTTTCTAGTCTATAACTTTTGCTTGAGATGTCTGATCGAAAAAGTACAAATTGATTTGGATTCTACGCACCCAAATTAATAAGAAAAAGTATTTTCCCCAGAAATTTTGGTGTAGTCGATATACACTGCCTTTTTTTGAGCCCCGAAAAAAAAATTGTCCCAGATCGACCCGGACAAAAATTTTCTTATAGAATGTGGCCTCTAGAATCCATAATTTCAAACAGTTCCAAGACTGGGCTACTAGTTCAAAAGTTACAGCCCTTTGAATTATTTTTCGAAATTGGTTTCTAGTCTATAACTTTTGATTGAGCAGTCTGATCGAAAAAGTACGAATTGATTTGGATTCTACGCACCCAAATTAATAAAAAAAAGTGTTTTCCCGAGAAATTTTGGTGTAGTCGATTTTTGGTAGAAAAGGAAGGTTATACATTGCCTTTTTTTGAGCCCTGAAAAAAACTTGCCTCACATCGACCGGGGAAAAAAATTTTCTTATAGAATGTGGCCTGTAGAATCCATAATCTCGAACAGTTCCAAGATTGGTCTACTAGTTCAAAAGTTACAGCCCTTTGAATTTTTTTTCGAAATTGGTTTCTACCTAGTCTATAACTTTTGATTGAGAAGTCTGATCGAAAAAGTACGAATTGATTTGCATTCTACGCACCCAAATTAATAAGAAACAGTGTTTTCCCGAGAAATTTTGGTCTAGTCGAACTTTGGTAAAAAAGGAAGGTTATACACTGCCTTTTTTTGAGCCTCGAAAAAAAAATTGTCTCAGATCGACCCGGAAAAAAATTTTTCTTATAGAATTGTAGCCTGTAGAATCCATAATTTCAAACAGTTCCAAGATTGGGCTACAAAATTTTTTAACAACCTAACATCAACCCCAATTAGAGAAACGTGTTAATAATTTATTAATAGTGCAAGAAACTAAATACAGCACATACTTATAAATTTCCAACTGGCCATTATGATCTACAGGCCAGGTGGCAATCGCCACCCACCCCCTCGGGCCAGTCCGCCCCTGCGCTGGGTGGTTTTCCATACTACCCCTGCCCCATAAACTTAATTAAAAATATTTTCGGGTATGAATTCATCTATTCAGTGATACACGAAACGCCACTGGTAATATTTTGCTTAATCGAAGAGCAACCAATCAAAATCAGTGTTCGCTATCCTTGTGTTTCTATTGGTGATTAGTTTTAAATCGATCCTCAGTTTTGACAGCTAGTTTAAGTAAAATGAACGTTAATTGTTGAAAATGTAACAATTTAACAATGCTTGAATAATTTATTGTACCGTTTAACGCATTTAGATTGATAATTTTATTTATTGTTAACAAACGTCTCAAATTTTTGTTGTTGTTTTATATTGGAGTAGTGGGGTTACATTTTGAATCGGACATTTTGATTAGAATTCAAAGAAAAAACTGTCATTGCTTTGTCGTATTTGAATAGTAGAAAAATTTGTTGTACAAGACTTGTTTATTAATTGTTTGGTGAGTACGCTATTATTTGTTGTTCTTTCTTTGAAATAATTGGGGAGTTTTATTAATTGTTTCCCAGACAGGTGTGATTCATCTTGTAGGTTGTTCCAGTTTTGTGAACTCATCTGTGGAAGAATTGACCTTGCACTTGCATGTATGTAAAACTGTAACCCGCTTTCAGTAAGCACCACTTTGTTTGCAGAATAAAAATGGCCACAGAAGACGAGGAATGGAAGAAATTATCAACAGAAGATCGTTGCGTTCACAAACAATGGAAGGCCAGAGTAAGCGGATACGAAGATGCGGCGAAACTTTTTAAACAAATCGATGACGAGAAATCTCCAGAATTTTCCAGATACTTAGGTTTAATTAAGAAATTCGTAAGCGACAGTAACGCGGTGGGTCAAGAGAAGGGGCTCGAGGCGGCACTCGCATATGTAGAAAATTACGCACACGCCGGCAAAACAGTTAACGATGTCATGTCGGGAATAGTAACTAAATGTATTGCGGCACCGAAGACAAAAACGCGTGAATTGGCAATGCAGATCACTTTAATGTATGTCGAAATAGAAAAATACGAGGCCGTCCAAGAGGAACTTATCAAGGGAATGGATCAGAAGAATCCCAAAATTGTAGCAGCTTGTATTACCGCCGTAACGGCTGCTTTAAAGGAGTTTGGGTCAAAAATTGTTAATCCCAAGCCGTTAATTAAGAAAATACAGACACTATTTGCGGACAGAGACAAGAGTGTAAGGGATGAAGCTCGTTTAATGGTGGTCGAAATGTTTAAGTGGATTGGACCCGCTTTAAGGTGGACTGAACTTTTTTTTTTGGTGGAGTAATTTTTGTTTTTGTAGATCTCAACTGAATAACCTGCAACCTGTTCAAGTAACGGAGCTGGAAGCAGAATTTGCAAAGGTGGAAGGCCAAAAGGTAACGCCAACTCGCTACATTCGGTCACAGCAAGAGAAGCAGGCAAAGTTAGCCGCAGAAACCGAAGAAGCTGAAGGTAAATCGTTAATGTGGAGACAGTTTTTGTATTTTGTTCGCGCAGGTGACGAAGATGTGGAAGAGGAGGGTTATAGCACTCCAACATTGGATCCTTATGATATTGCAGATCCCGTCGATATTCTCTCGAAGCTGCCGAAAAATTTTTATGAGCAATTGGAAGCCAAGAAGTGGCAGGAAAGGAAGGAGGCTTTGGAGTTATTGGAGAAGTTAATAAAAACACCCAAGTTAGAAAATGGAGACTATGGTGACTTGATTCGAGCTTTAAAAAAAGTAGGTTGTTTAAATAGAAAAGAATAGCTGATTAATACAAATCTTGAATTTGAACTCAAGGGGTGTGGCTTAACAACCAACAGAAACCTCGTGGTTGTGGCAAACCTCGCTTGCTTTCTCCAATACTTACCTTGTTTTGGCCGGACATACTTTTGTTCACCTTCATTATGAAGCGGTAGATGTGTAGGTTTTCCTGTTTAACAAAATACAAACTCAAAACCAAATTTATTTTATTTCTGCCATTTTAAAAATAAATCAATTTCACAAGAATTAATCAAAATTAACTGGTAGATGTGTTGATGTTTACAATATTCTTGTTGCGATGTTTCCTGGTAGCACTTTTGAGTTAATTTCCATGGCAACTTATCAATATAGATATTATCTATCAGATAAATTTAACTGAAAGATGAAAGTCCGGCCCCAAGAACCCAACATGTCATAGTAAAATTACTAATCCCATTAAATTCTATATACAGATAATCCAAAAGGACACAAATGTGGTAGTAATAGCGTTAGCTGCGAAAAACCTGGCCTGTTTAGCCAACGGTTTAAAGAAGCGTTTTCAACAGTACGCCGCTTTTTGTGTCCCGACGCTCTTAGAAAAGTTCAAAGAAAAAAAGCAGAATGTTGTACTAGCTATACGAGAGGCAATCGGTATGGCATACCGATAGATTTTTGGTTTTTGTGAAACATACCGGTAATAAATTTATCCACATAGGCATAATGGATAAAGTTTTTTCATGATAATATACGCATACATACAATACTAAAATTTTATCAGTTCAGCCATACCGGTAAAAAATATTTGCCACTTCGACCACTGAATGTTCCCAATTACATTTCTTGGTTTTTGTATTAGATAACTGTCGAGGTGATATTGGAGGATGTGGTAGAAGCTTTAAATAGTAAAAATCCTTCAGTTAAAGCCGAAACAGCGTCATTCTTATCACGAGCTTTTGCAAAAACTTCACCTACATCCTTAAACAAAAAATTACTCAAAACGTATTCGGCAGCACTGATTAAGAATATTAACGAGCCAGGTAGATTCCATTTTTTTTATTACTCGTTACTCTTGTTCCATTTTTAAGATCCGACAGTACGAGATTGTTCTTCGGAGGCACTTGGTACCTTAATGAAGCTGGTAGGAGAAAAGGCGATCGGACCGTTTATTACAGAGATCGAAAAAGATAACCTTAAAATGACCAAAATTAAGGAGTGTTGTGAAAAAGCCGTCATTAGTGTTAAAGTGGCATCCGGTAAGAAGGCAGCGTCTGAGAAGAGTGCGCCACCTCAACCGAAAGCCAAGGAACCCATTCCGGAAAAAACCACAAATGCTGCCAAGCCTAAACGGCCAGGTACAGGTAGGCATCCATCACAAAAGGCCTACTAAAAGCTGTTTCCTCTTTGTTAAAATTTGTTAATAAATAATTATTTAACACATCTGCGAGAAATCAGTGTGGTAAGGAAATTAATTGGTGTTTAGGTCTTTAAATGTTGATCTACATTTGTTATCTGTTTTACAGTCTGGGGGTTGGTACTGTGCTATTCTTTTATGCACATGGGTGATATTCTCACAATTCTCTAGTATTCAATGGCTTTTCTGGTAGATTTTGGTATTTCAAAATCAGTGGCGGCCCGTGGACTTTGAGTATGGGGGGGGGGGGGCGAAGATGTATTTGTATACATTATCAAATGCGGCGATGGCAAAAGGAGGGGGTTGAGACCACTTTGCGCCGCAGGGAAAATTTTTAAAAATTTTCAAGGTCACGCGTTTTCCTGGCACTTCTGAATTTCAATTAAAAATTATTTTATACAAAAATATAGACGTTCATAATACGAATTTTTTCCATATAACGGCAATCTCAATCTCGTTCGTGTGAAAACTCGATACAAATCAACGTAACACCGGACACTGCCGAGTTCCAGCCGCTAAAGATGTGCGGCCAAAGGCTAATCTAAATGAACAGACTGAAAGTAGTGCAGTGCGCATGCTACTGTCTGTTGTCATGGCAACGCCTTCGCGGCCGAGCACGCGCGCCGTGTGCCCTTGAATGACAGCGAGGGCGTGTGGCTGTCGCTGGTCATTGTGTGCATTCAAATAACAAATAAGAAATCTTCAATCCAGTTTATTTTAGTTTTCGTAGAATTTGTTACGATCCGCAATAAGTCTACGATTATTATTACATTATGATTATAATTAAGTATAGGACATTGAATTAATTCTTGCGAAGTTAAGACAATGATAAACAAAAAACAAATTCTTTTTTCTGTTTTCTGTGATTTTTTCAGGAGGGGCGCGCGGCCATGCGGCCCTTAGTAGTAGCCGCCCCTGTTCAAAATATTCTTTTCAGTTTTGGAGACTACATGAGAACGTTATGCAGTATAGAAGGTCCAGAAAAAACAGTACATTTCGTAACTAGTTATAAACAATAAATGGTTTACGGTAGGCAAGCCATTGCGTTTTCGTGTGGAAAAAATAAATGGGCTGAAAACCTTTCTTGCATGAAATAAAATTAAACTTCTATGGCACTGGCATTTAATATGACAATTTATAAACTCACGGGTAGCTCTGTAATAAAAAATGTTCTCATAGCCCTTACCCTGTGGAAGTTTGATCCTATCTCCTCTTAAAATCTGAAATTGAAGATCTAATGCTCTGGTTTTATTCGAATTCCATTTTTCTTTTCAATTAATAGTAAACCTGTATTTTTTCCACGTGCTCGGCTTTAAACAGAGAGGAAAGAAACTTTTAGGTTTGAAGAGATCGTGGAAACCGTTTCTTGTTATCGCCTGACATACTTTCGTTCACGTTCGCTATGAAGCGGTACGTGTGGAAGTTTCCCTGTGTTGACCAAAATACAAATTCAGAACCAAATTTTTGAAAACGGCCAAGTGACTACGCATTACAAGGTTTTTGTCAGCAAACTCCATAAGACTCCACTAGTGAAAGTGTGATATGAGCTGAAATTTTCTCTCTTTCTTGCATTGCATTGATCATAGACTGAATTCATTTTGTGCTAAAGAGAGTCTGAAAAGTCTATACACCATATATTATTTTATACGATGGTTTTTCGGTTTCTTTTAGTTTTACTGAGCTTAATGGACAGTCAGACCCGTCTGTCTTGTGGTTTTGATTTTATGGTCACAAGGTCCTAAGAAGGAGTTGTTCTTTTGGTTTTTCCATTCAACTAAATTTTGTTAAGGAATTAGTATACTACATGGTACTGCACATCTCCTTTTTATTTAAACAATAGGATTGCTCAAGGTTCAAGATGGTCTTGTTTGTTATTTGAACGTACCAGTGGGAATATTTATTTGCCTTTATTTTTGAGTGGGCGGGGTTTCAGCCAAGGCTGCTCTACCAACCCAACCCACTATACATTTACAAATAGTACTTAAAATTTCTTTTTTTGTTTTTTTATTTATCTTGATATTTTTCTCTTTTTTTATTAATCAACTTCCTCTCTTCTTTATCTATAAATTATTATTGCCCTTTATTGCAAATGGCACGCCACTAATCAGTTAAACAACCAACTAATTCATATTAAATTAATTAATATAATTTCAATTTTGTACTCGGGACGTATTCTTTCTTTCAATAAAAATTATTGTTAAGTATTAGGGTTAAATCACATTATGAAACTTCCTATTCATAAATCTGAACTTCGCCCTATTGAAGGTGACTCTGACGTTAGTTTTTTATTTCCTATTTAATAGTCATGAATTCTGTTTATTAGTATGTACAGTGTTATCCTTCAATAAATGACCATTATTATTATTATATCCATACCCGAACCCGGATTCGAACCGGGGACCGTTAGCACCACAGTCCAGTTTGAACTGAACTGTACCACACGGACCTAACGGTGAGAGATTTGGGGTAGGTCAAATGGAGCCAAAGTTGTCCCTTTTTTGTGACTAAAATTTTTTTTAAAAATCTTCGAAAATGGCTAATATATCACAAAAAAACTAAAAATGTCAAATTTCGTTTTAATTTTTATTTTCGGAAATGAACGGGGTAGGCACTTTTTTTAATTGAATCTGAATTCGGTAACAGAATTTCCATAACACACTAGATGTAAGACCTACAGGCTATTCCTTATTTCTTATAGCCGCCATATTGAATTTTTACGGAATGAAAAAATTCACTTGAATGCATCGCCATCATAGCTATGTTGATTCAGCAAAATCTAGTTGCCCATGTATATATGTTTTGTTGAGAAATGAGTCATTATTTTTCTTTTTTTGTCCTACAAAGTGCTCATTCTCTAAAAATTCAATATGGCGCCCATACAAATTTGGAAAGTAGCACCCTGTAGCTTCTACGTTTAGCGTGTTATGTAAATGCTGTTAACAGATTCAGATTCATTGAAAAAAAAGTGACCATAGAAGGTGCCAATGAAACTGTTCATTTCCGACCGTTTAAATTAGGGAAAATGGAAAGATTTTCAAATGCGTTTCTTTAGTCTCAAAAAGGGACAACTTTGTCCCCATTTAACCTGTATCTCGCAAATTTATGAAGATTCCTGTGGCGATCCTTCCGTACATACATATGTCCGAGATAACAACTCGACGGATTTTGTTCGACTTTGGGATATATTAGGCACACTGAAACGAAAATCGAAAAATAATGGGTCGGTTTTTGGAAAAAAAATCATTTTGGAGTGCCGGCACGACATTGAACCTTTTTTTTTTCAAAAAACTCAAAGTTTGTATGAAATTATGTGTACAACCTGCAAAAATTGTGCCAGGTTTTATTACAAAAAAAAAACGGAGAAAAAAATTTCCAAGTTAAAAAACTAAAAAAAATTTTCCCCCAAAACTATTATTATGAAACTGTCACCTGGGGCTGAAATAAAAAATCTTGCGTCGCTTTATGTAAATGTAAATTTAGGGTATTCTGCCAAACCTGTTCCGTTTCTTAATCGCGGTAACTTTTGAAGTTTTGAATTAATGCACCAATCAATAGAAGATTTAAGTACCTTTGACATTTCCTCCAATGCTACCATTAACGATGCATTTAAGACTTTGTTCATAAGCTTCCTATTCGTCCGCGAAAACATTTGCAGATTCTCTATAATAGGCATCTACCAACTCTTTTGCTTTTGCAACAATCCATTGAATTACATTATCTTTTTCAACCGAAGTCATTTTATTTACAAAGACTGTGATTTTTATACGCAAACGTCAAGTGACATTTCCATGATAATGGGATTACGAATTGACAGCCCGTTATGATTTTTATTTCCCTTATTTAAATTATTTTGCAGAAAATACTATAGGAAACACATGGATAATTGGTCGTTAAAGCACTTTCAATGCATAAAGGCACTCCGTCGTTGCGCGTGCTTTAAAGTAGGGGAGCCCATGATGCTAAATGTAAATTTACTTCAGGTTCGTAGGGACCAATTGAACTTTGTAGATTAGATGGTAGAAAGAAAAAAAGTAAGTACATCCCTTCACCAGGGTGAGGGGGGGGGTGTCTATTGCAGGTTTTTAGTAATGTAGTCACATGAAAATATTCGAGTGCGTCAGATATTGATGGTATATATTCCCACGTGTCTCTGGCATTGGAGGTATCTTAATCTGTTGGGGAAGGGTGGAAAACTGGATTTATTTAAGTGTGTTGTATGTATAATTTATGACACGAACACCTCGTCTACATGATTTCAGTCAGCTGACCTTCACCTGCTTAAACTTTATTGACAATTTTTGGAAATCGACAGCTTGTATTTTTTCAGTTATTCTTGAATTGTTTTCTTGAAAATCCAACGCGTTCGAGAATATTAAGGTATCGTTTGTTTTTTATGGAAGTTTGTCACCTGGGTCACGATCAAATCGTGAGCTTTGATTGAAATGCAGACTTTTCAACATGTAGGTAACCCACCTTACTTTTATCTGACGCGCTCAAGTAAATCTCAAAATAGTCAAAATCCCCTACTGAGCTCCCCTCCTATTTTAATATCTGGTTTGAGCTAGGAAGCTGTTCTGGCACCTGGTTTTTATCACACTTTACATACGTGAGGAAATAATTTATGCTAGTGTCAGTGTTTAAGTTTTTTATTACATTTGAAAGTCATTCATTTTAAAATAAATGTTTCAACAGCTACTGGCGCACAAAGGAAGAAACCAGCTGCCCCAATATCATCAGGGTCCGCCACGATTGTTAAGTGTAAGTCTAATAAGGCCATAATTGAAAAAACAAGGGAGAGAGAGTTGGGTGAAGAAGAAGCTGTTGAATTGGTAGCTGATATACTTAAACCGGAAACGTTGAGCGGTCTTGCTGATAGTAACTGGAAAAACAGGTAAAACATCGATTGAATTGTGTACCGTTACTGAAGGAGGTCTTAGATTAGCGGCGGTGGAGGACTTCTTGCAACAAGTTCAAGCAATTGACGCCAGTAGTGCGCCAACTCAAGCTCTAGTGAAAGTGCTCAATAAGAAACCAGGATTGAAAGATACAAATTTTCAGGTGTTGAAAGCACGCCTAGACACCCTGAAGCACATTGCCGAAAATTGCTCTTTTTCCACGTAAGTCTTTTGTTTATGCTAAAACAAAAAATTCTATTATTACTTTTAGAACCTCAGCCGAAATATGCGTCAATGATATTACGGAAAAATTGGGAGATGCGAAAAATGGTTCCTTAGCAGGAGACGTACTGCTCTCCATTGCAGAGGCTACGAAATTTGATTTTGTAGCCAGTCTGGTAATGGATTTTGCTTTAGTTCAGAAAAGCCCGAAGGTTTTACAAGAGTCTCTCTTCTGGCTGTCGAATGCAATGAAAGAGTTTGGATTTTCGTACGTTACAATTTTTTAAAAATGCCTACTATTGCGTAATCTTTAGGAATATGAATGCCAAGTCGCTTATAGAAAACGCGAAGAAAGCGTTGGCATCGTCCAACCCGGCCGTTCGGACTGCCGCAATTTCCTTAGTTGGCACTCTCTACCTGTACATGGGCCCTACATTGCACGTGTTCTTTGAAAACGAAAAGCCGGCTTTGAGAGAACAAATAAATGCAGAATTTGATAAGTACACAAATGAAAAACCACCGTTACCCGTTCGAGGTCTGAAAAGAGAGAAAACAGATGTTTCCGACCAAGAGGAGGAACCGGTACAAGCGGAAGAGGTTAATATTCAGGATTTGTTACCGAGAACCGACATTAGTTCACAAATTAGTGAGCCGCTAATTGAACAAATGGCCGATAAAAATTGGAAAGTACGAAATGAGGCACTAACCAAAGTCACCACGATTATCTCCGAGGCGAAATTTATTAAGCCTAACATCGGCGACCTGCCGCAAGCCTTAGCATTACGCCTTGTCGATAGTAACGGTAAAATTTCACAAACTGCGCTCAACATTTGCGAAAATATTGCCACTGCGATGGGCGCCCCCTGTAGACAATACGTACGGGTTTTGCTCCCCGGCTTTCTGCAATGTCTCGGCGATAGTAAAGTGTGGATCCGTACGGCTTCCGTCGCTTGTTTAAACTCGTGGGGCGATTTGTGCGCTTATAAGGAATTTTTCGATGGGGAAATGATTGCAGACGCATTGAAAGCCGGGTCGCCTACTCTCAGAAGTGAACTTTGGACGTGGTTGGCCGAGAAGTTGCCTCAAAGTAAGTGATCTGTCGATAAAAGTGGAGGGTCTTACGGATATTTTAGTTAAAACTGTTCCCAAAGAAGAACTCGTAGCGTGTATTCCGCATTTGTATTCCAATTTAGAAGATCGAAACGCAGATGTTCGTAAGAATGCTCAGGACGCGGTATTGGGCTTGATGATTCATCTGAGCTATGAGAGTATGAATAAACAAACTGAAAAGTTAAAGGTAAACCCTGCTGTCTTGAAAACAACTTAATCCCTCATTTTAAATATGTTTAGTCTCTTATACTGCATTTTTATTACTTACTTCATTTTAAAAGCCCCTCATTTATTAGAATGTCTTTTGTAAATAATTTTTCATTCATGAAACTATCAAATTTGTTGTTGTCTCTACCACTACCATGAGATTTTATTATCGAGGTTATTTAACAGAAGATAGGAAGATAATCATTAGCCAATCAGTGTCCCTTTCCTCCTTTAATTAAATGATGATAGGTTTCATTTGCAAACACATGACGAATCAAAGTGCCACAATTGAAGCTTATGTTCATGCTCCACCATAGTTCTGAACTTTTCCCTTCTCTGCTTGTAAAGACTTCATGTTTTGTTTTACTTTAAAGAAACTACTACCATTGTTTATTCATTATAGGGGTTCTACCTGATAAGTGCCCCCACATCGTGTCGAATTGTGGTACTATGCGATTATTCAGTTGGTTTCTGTATAGTATAATTTAAATTATATGATCTCTTCCATGACCTGGTGAACATCCCTTTACTTATTTTCGTAGATCAAATTACATTTAATAGTCAAAGCAAAAAATGTATGTAGGCGTCTGTGAGAATTTATTCTACGTTAGCTAATACCACAGATCTACACATACAACAGATTGCTAACCTTATGCATTTTATGGGAAACGCATTTAGGTATACTTAAAAGCGCCCTCTATTGAGCAGCAGATAATGCACGCTTAGTGAAGTGAAGTGCTAATACTATGCTCTATTATCAAAAATAGAATTTTAAATCATAATTTGTAATTCAACAAATTCATTGCATGTTTTTTTTTTGTTTAAAGTAGCCTTTGTATACAGTGTGGAAATTTTGTCTGGAACACGGAATATCTTCAAAACTACAATTTTTGCAAAGAAATTTTTATGGTATCCACGGTTATAAAAAGTTTGCAACAATCTAATTTGTTGTTAGTGGCGCACTTCTGCATGGTGGATGGCAAACATATTTTTTTAATGGCAACTACTATCGTTTTCATTACATACTAGCTGACCCGACGGACGTGTTCCTCTTTCTTAGCTATGAATACCTATTCAATTCGGACTGGAATAAACAATAACAAAAAATTATTTCAAAAAATTTGCTGTGGCTAGCACAGGTACCACCCGCCCCACCTGTGCATGGGCGATTTTGCCTTTTTATGTCTAAGAATATGTGTAGCAAATTTGGTTTAAATCGGTTCAACCATTTAGCCGGAAAAGAGATTTTTACACACTTGCCCCAAAATCTCCCCAATCTCTCCCCAAAATAATAAAAAATAAACGCACTCACTTCTAGTTGCTTTTGTCGATTCAGAGCTAGCAATGTACCTTTTTTTTGTTGCGCCAAATGCCGTCATTTGAATGCAATTATTGTATTTCTGAATATGAGTAAAAAAAATATAGAATCTGGCTCATTTCCGGTAACCAAGGGATTTAGTGGCTCTGGTGGCGGTACCAATGGCGTCAATTTCAGTATATAAACTGTTTTTACATGTTTTATTAAGCTTTTGGTATACCCGCAAATTTAAAAATGAATTTCAACATCTCTGTTATTAATAACTATTCATAAAACAACAAAAGTCATGGCTATTGCTACTAATAACAAAAATGTTGAAATTTATCTTTAAATTTGCGGGTATACCAAAAGCTTAATAAAATAAAAACAGTTTTGTATGCACCTTTTAATTCTGAACAACTGAAACTCTACAGTTTTTTCTGTAAAATGTACAGGAGGGCAGGATATTGCATAAAACTAATTTCCCATGTTAAATTACTATGTTCCTACTTACCGTGCACCACCCGCAATGCTTGACTTGTAGAATTATGAATTCTGCGACCTAAGTTGGTACCATGTTGGTACGATTAAAGGACACTTTTTTGAATATAGCGCTCAAAACACTTAGGATGTAATCAAATTTAAGAGAAAATCTCAAATGAAGGAAAATAGCTGTCTTTTGGTGTTGCGCTGGTGTTCTTATTTTTTTTTTCATTTATTGGGTCACCTTAACAATGATTTATTTACAAAATATACATACAGGGTTAGGAAAAAAAATGTCTTATATAAAAGTTATAGGACTGTTAAAAATTTACATATCTGTGATAAATTGAAATAATGTATAAGGTCGCTCACACACTTGTAGAGAATGATAGTTGTATTTTTTTAATTGGAACACCCTGTATATTATTACTTATTTTGATGGTTGACTCAATGTTAAACATTTTTTATTAACAATCATTGTGAATTAGTAAATGGAGTCATTTTCAACCCTTCTTATAAAATAGAGCCGCTTTGCCATGATTTCTTATACGTTTCTGTTTAAAGTTAACGCTTGTACTGGGATATGTCTCTAAAAAATTACAGTGAAGTATAGATGGCGCCACTTTTTATTACAGTCATAATGTTTGTGTTACATCGACAACTTATAGGCGGTCCTTCTGCAGTAACATGCTTTTACACGCTTTTAAACTTTGTAAGTGCTTTCTTCACCGAATGATGATTTAACCGGTGGTTTGAATGACCTAGGTTGAACATGTAATTACCTCGGATAATTGTGTTTTTCACAACTCGAATAAATATTTAAAAATCATCTCGTGAATCACCCATGATTTGATCCATTGTTTTCCTTAGTAGACAAAAACGATACCTGTGTCCACAAGGACATGTTAGTTACCGATCTATTTTCCTGTAATTCGTGGAAGGGAACCTGATATTATAAGGCTTTTTATAAATTATTACACTGCAGCGGGTTTAAAGGGACAAATACTATAATAAATAATTTACAAAAAATTGTACGGAACAATTTTTCTCTTTTCCATCACTTTAAATCTCAATATAACTAATAGATGGCGTCAGTTATTATGATACAAGTTCGATATGAACAATGAAATGCATGTAACATTAAAATCATGAGGCATAGCCGAGTGGTTTTAGTTACACAACTTTCATTAATGATGTGATTCATGTGTATCATTCAAAATTTAATCTGCAATAGTCCAAATACATTTTATGTGCTTTTTGAAATACCTAAATGTTCATAAGAACACTAGTACTTTTGTAAAAGCTGTAATAACATCCAATTGGCCATGATGAATCTCTAATAAGGACACCATCGTAGATTAATAAATAAATATGAATGTATGTTGTTTGCTGAACCGTTCCGATTCCGATGAAATTTTGGGGAGTGGTTAGATGCAAAGGATTCTGATATTGTAAAACTTCCTGAAAATCTAACGGGAATGAGAAAAAATGGAACTTACCGTGAACGGGATTTTATTGGGAACCTATTCATAACGGGAGCTAGACCAGGCTACACTTAGGCACATAAAAGACCCATTGTACCTGCCCCTCTTCTTTTACCACTAGGTTCAGAGCTCTCTTCTCTCAATAAAGATAGGACCCTGTTTAGTCTAAGTTGCTTCAACCTCCTCGGTTCCAGATAACTCTAGCCAAGGAGCTGATGTCTATTTCTCCCTCTGCCGTGCTCGATAGTTTCATCTGCCTCACCATAGAATCTACATGTGGACTCTCCTACAATCCCAATGTTGGTCAGGTCCAGTGCCCCATGAGAACACTAGTGATCTTCCTAATCTCGCTTCTATTCAGTTTTAGAAAATAAAAGAGCTTACCAAGGGGCCCTGTTAAGAAAGCTCTGGACTGTCCAGTTGCTTGTTGCCCAACTTTACTAGTTTGCGTCAAAAAATCGTTAGTCTTTTGTTAGTTTTGTCAAAGCAAAAGCAAAAATTATTAAAAATTTGCAACAAACTTAAAAACTATGAACAATGACGTGCATCTGTATTTAATTGAGTTGTTAAAGAAAGAAACATGTAATACAAATAATGATATTCTAAATTTTTTACGTTTCTACATGCGTTTTAAGCATATGTAATAAAAAATAGTGGTTGTTATTAACAAATAACAAATATAGATGCCACCTGATGCTTTGTATTAACCTGTATTTATATTGACAGTAATAAGTGTATAATGCGTGCCATATTAAAATGAGGGAGCAACACTTTTTCTTTGATAGTGAAAGCATCAACCACTAAATTTAACATTTTTTCTTCAGCCGGGCTCAAAAACTGTGGTTGTAGCAGCTTTGGACAAAGCGCGCCCGAACCTACCGGCGAAACCGTTGCCGAAACCAAAACAATCCTCTCCCGAAGACAAAGCGGTTAGAGGTACCAAACCGGTGGCAAACTCCAAAAATGCGGTAAAACCAAAAGTATGCGAATGAAGCTATTATTAGTAATAACATTGCAACTTACCTCAGGGCGTGGCGACTGTAATAAAACCGTCATCGGCTCGTAAAAAGGACGACGATATCGATACGTCCCCTCTGATGACAATAAACAATTTGAAGCATCAGCGTACAATTGACGAGAACAAGCTTAAGGTTTTAAAGTGGAATTTTACGACCCCGAGAGAAGAATTTGTTGAACTCCTGAAAGAACAGATGCTTGCCGCCAATATAAATAGGACCCTGATCTCGAACATGTTTCATATCGATTTTAGGTAATACTCGAATAAAAGAAATGCTTTGAATGCTCACATTACTTTTAGGTTTCACATAAAAGCTCTAGAATCTTTGATAGAAGATCTCCCAGGAAATGGACCGGCTCTAATATCGAATTTGGATTTGATTCTTAAATGGTTAACGTTAAGATTTTTTGATACAAATCCGGCAGTGATATTAAAAGGGTTGGAGTATTTGTTTATTGTATTCAAATTTTTGATTGAAAGCAAATATCACATGTTAGAAAATGAAGGTTCTGCCTTTATTCCCTACTTGGTTTTAAAAGTGAGTATTGTGTACCATTATGCAAACCATTCATTGCGAGATTTGAAGGCTGGCGATCCTAAGGATACAGTTAGAAATAACGTTAAAGGAATTTTTAGGCAATTGGCATTAATATTTACAGTTAGTCGGCTGTTCTTTTATGTGATGGAAGGAATAAAATCAAAAAATGCGCGTCAACGTACTGAGTGTTTAGATATAATGGGGTCACTCATTGAAAATTACGGTAACCATCGGTCGCATACTTCATAATTAATACATATCATGTGTAGGGCTTGGAGTGTGTCTGCCGTCACCCGCAGTGTGTCTTAAAGAAGTTGCAAAGCAAATTTCAGATAGAGATAATGCCGTTCGGAATGCGGCTTTAAACTGCATTGTTCAGGCCTACTTTATTGTTGGCGAAAAAGTCTTGAAAATGGTGGGTCAGGTTAGTAACGCCTCCTATAATTTGCACCTCATTGTAGGGGCATTTAGATTTCAGATAAGGATATGTCATTGTTAGAAGAACGTATTAAACGTGCAAAAAGACCTTCGCCTAAAGCCGATCGAACTGAGCCCCAAATGGAATATGTTAATAAGTCTCCGCAGCGTGCAAGTATGGAATCTCCTGTCAAAGATGTGGAAGAAAACGGCACTTTGGAGGAAGATGACGAAGATGATATCCCTGTTATACCGTAAGTTAAGTTAAACTATGATAGTGTGTGACATGCTAAATTGTAGTACAATGGAAAAAAAGGTTCAACAAGACATGCCCGAGTGTACGGGTCCGTTCCAGTTAGACCCAGAAATTATGAGAGAGTTAGATAGCTGCAAAGCTCCCATTACTCAAGTTCAGTTACAAGAATTTGATTTAGACTTTCTTAAGGAGGAACTCAGTGTGCCATCATTATCAGACGCGAGAGCGAAGTAAACTCCTTAGTACCTTAGTGAAGAATTAATTTGGAAATATTTTAGGGCAATGCCTGTATCACCGCCTAAGCCCATACTTCCCAATGAAACATTTTCGAGATCGTCCATAGGTCATCTGCAGTTTAGTCCTCGACCTGTCAAAGATGCACTGTTAGAAAAAACCATTGATAACATGGGATCATCTGATCATAATTTAGCTTTTAAGGTAAGACTGCGTCAAAACTAAAAACTGTAATGTGCAGGGGCGGACTGGCCCGAGGGGGCGGGTGGCGATTGCCACCTGGCCTGTAGATCATAATGGCCAGTTGGAAATTTATAAGTATGTGCTGTATTTAGTTTCTTGCACTATTAATAAATTATTAACACGTTTCTCTAATTGGGGTTGATGTTAGGTTGTTAAAAAATTTTGTAGCCCAATCTTGGAACTGTTTGAAATTATGGATTCTACAGGCTACATTCTATAAGAATTTTTTTTTCCTGGTCGATCTGAGACAATTTTTCTTCGAGGCTCAAAAAAAGGCAGTGTATAACCTTCCTTTTTTACCAAAAATCGACTAGACCAAAATTTCTCGGGAAAACACTTTTTCTTATTAATTTGGGTGCGTAGAATCCAAATCAATTCGTACTTTTTCGATCAGACTTCTCAATTAAAAGTTATAGACTAGAAACCAATTTCGAAAAAAAATTCAAAGGGCTGTAACTTTTGAACTAGTATCTTGGAACTGTTTGAAATTATGGATTCTACAGGCCACATTCTATAAGAAAATTTTTTTCCGGGTCGATCTGAGAATTTTTTTTTGGGGCTCAAAAAAAGACAGTGTAACCAGGCCCCCCCCCCCCCGCCACCTTCATTACTACACTAATACTTTAATGGCCCGTAACCTATGCAATTCCACCTGGCCCGTAAGTACCCAGTCCGCCCCTGGTAATGGGCTATTACATAAGACAGAGTTGAAACTTGTAGTGATTCTTTATGGATAGGAAACGGGATTGATCGGTTAGCCAGGGAGGAGTAGGCCTATGCAGTATTGCATTTTATACATCAAAATATTTTTATTGCACACATCTAGGTTTCCATGGCGAACCAAAGATGGCTGGATTGTGTAAAAAGACAATTTCTTGGTTATTTGGAAATGTTTATTAGTGTCCAAATATTTTTAATTTCAAATAACACACAAAAAAAACTAAGAACGTAAAAACACATGTGAATAAAACAAATAAGTCATATAATATATAAATAAATAATACAGGTAACCAATTGAAGTTTTAAACAATTCCATCTTTTGTTCACCATGGAAGCCTAGATGCCTGCAATAAAAACATTTTAAAGTATAAAATGCAATATTGCAAATAATATTTAATATAAATATAATACATTAAAATTTTACGCTCTTTTCAAAAACTCCAAATATATAGGGTGGTCCATATGAAAAAATATAGTTTAGGGTCGTCTAAGAAAAACCAGACACCCTGTATAAAAACTGTGTATGGCAGTGGGTCCTACATAAAATAGTGCTCTAAGAAAAATTTTGACAAAATCAATTATCTTTAATAATAAGCAAGTTATGGAGCATTAAGTAAAGAAAGTGTCCAGTTTGGACCACCCTGTACATCACAATAATAATCTTTGTCTGTCATCCCTTTTGTATTTCTCATTGATTATCATTTTAGTCGATTGAACAAATGCAAGAAATTCTTCAATCCAATAAAGGCAGCTCAATGATAGATTATGAAAACCAGTTTATGTCGGCAATAATTTCGCAGCTGTCAATTCTGCAAACGGAAGATCCCAAAACAAATGAGGAAATTTTAAGGATCTATAGGTCAATTTTAACCGTTATTGATACTGTATGTATACCTGTCACGTAATTAAGCTCGTTTAAACGATATTTTCGTTGTAGTTTTATGTAAATAAGTTATTAGGGCGAAAGGTTAGTATGGACGTATTACAGAATGTCCTAAACCAGTTGATAATGTTATTGGTCGATGCTAAATTGGAGGCCTGCGTAAATGGTGATATGTACGTTAGAGTAGTTAACTTGCAGTGTGTAAAAATTATCGAGAGATCCGATCATACGAACACCATATGGTAAGGTGATATTTTCAGAAATGTATATTTTGACTTTGACCTGTTTAGTGCGCTGGTCAAGTTACTTCACGATTCGGTAGAAACAGAAGCGCCACCCAGATTAGTCGATTTAATCATGAAATGTTTATGGCGAGTAATTAAGCTGATGCCAAGTTGGGGAGATGAAATAGACTACGACAGTGTCCTATACGAAGTTCATATGTTCTTAAAAGATTTTCCTAGCATTTGGTGGAAGAGTAAACCAATGGATACTCCCTTGCGGACTGTTAAAACTATTTTACATTCTATGGTTAAAGTGAAAGGCGGACAACTCATGCTTCATTTGGGCAAAATCCCTAATACAAATGATTCCGAACTAGAAACTTACATTCTTCGATTGCTGAAGGTAAGTTCAGAGAGAGGAAAAAAATCAAGATGTACTCATTTTATTTATAGTCCATGAAACTGGAAGAGATTAAGCAGGTGCCACTTAAAACTGAAAAGACTGAACCAAAGAAAACGTTATCGCGTCATTTTCACACTCGCATGACTGAGATATTTCAAAAGATCGGCAAGAAAGAAGAAGCCAAAGAGGGATTCAATCTCCTCTATGATTTTCTTCATCAGAACCCCGACGCAGATTTAGATCAGTTTCTCCATAAATCCAGCCACGTTTTTCAAGATTACATTAGTAACGGACTGAAATCGATCGAAAACTCGCGAAGTCTAAGTAATGACGGTAGTGTATCACTATCCTGCAATGGCTCTCGGTTCTAATTAAACTGATTGCAGTTTTTGAGAAAAGCGCGTCATCATTGTCTGGCGGTGATGCGGTAAATGTAGCCACTGACGACAGTCGAGGCCCAGATTATTGGAAAGATAAATTACAAATGTGGAATAAACTGTGGGAGGAACCAACGGAAAAGGGTACCTCAACTGAATAAATTGTTTAAAAATGTACTGTTTATAGTAGGTAGAAAACAAACGAATAATGACCCTCGACTAAAGTTATTTTTGTAAGAATTTCTGGTAGGCAAAATTAATATTTTTTGTCTTTTATGTTCATAAATCATGTCCAGCTATTTTTCAACGAAAACTCCTCGCCGCTTACGATTAGTATTTATTGTTTGATATGTAATTTTTGTATTAATTTATTGAAAGTTTGTATTTTGTACGTCTTAATCTTACGTTTAGTGTACTTATCAATTCCGTTTTTAAAATTTTTGTAAGATCTAAATTGAGACAATGTTAAGCAAAAGTTTCATAGACTACTTGTTCATATTAAATAACATAGCAATGTATTACATCAGTTTGTTATTGTAGTTTATCAAAAATAATAATAAATTAATCTTTACTTACAATTGAGGGGTTTCTCCTCCTTTGAGTTTGTGTTTCTTTTCTTATCTGAAGGGAAAGGTAAAGAAATTTTATTTGGCCTTACAGTAGTTGGGAGCGGTAATGTAATTATGTAGGAGATTTTTTTCTACGACTCAAAAATAAGGAGAGAATCTAACGGTGGTGGGAAATAGCATAGAACGCGACGGAAGCGGCCATCATATTACTTCCTTTGCGCTGGTCAGTTCTGTCGACTTGACCTGCCATAAAACAGAAGCCGATGCCCGTTTTGTTTATTACGCCACTGCCAATGACGACGCGTTTCCCCCCACTCTCATAATTTCTTTTTTATCCATTTACGTCTCGTGCCCTTTTAATGCAAAGTTCTATCCTTTTATTTTTCACTTGTAGATTTTGTGTTTACACTTGTACAGGGTGTCCCATTAATAATGGGCACAGGCGATATCTCTGGAACTGTTATGTGCACAGCTTCAGGAAAAAAATTTTGTTAACAAAAGGGGCCAAGAGAAATCGCTGGAAATTATTTTCAAGTTTCTAGCTTCGCCGCCAGACGGCGTACGATTCATGGTTAAGTAGAAAAATTACTTTTTTCTAAAATATTCCCAACAAACATGCATAATAAATACATGCATAGCAATCTTGTATCAATTTTGCATAATTTTGATGCAGCACATATTGCTCTAGCTCATAAAATATGAGGGGTAGAGGAAGGAGAACATCTATTTAAGGAATCGAATGTAACTTCGGTTTAGGTTAACCGATTTTCACATAATAGGTCTTGTTGGAAAGAACTGTCTTCGTGGAATCAGATTTTACATTAATAGTTTTTTTAGTAAATGTGATGAGTGGTAGAGGGCGCCATGTGACATTAACATACACTTTGCAGGGTATTTTGCAAATTTCAAATGGAACGATATAATTATATGATATTATCAAGTAAGATGAAAAATTGAAAATATCAGTGAAAACCGCATTTTGATATCTGTTTCCTAAACAGAGATATGGCGAAAATACGAACATTCACAAATTTGAATCGCAATATTTATATTCATCCAAGTTGGTTTTGAAACAAATGAACACATAGCAACACATAATTAATTATGTCAAATACGAATTAAATAATAAAAGAAATAGTAATTATAATTAACGTAGATGTCCAAACTGTCTGCCATCATTTTTGCTATAAAGACGAAGTTTCTGCTGAGTAGAGAAAACAGCCGCTTCAATTTCAGCCATAGATATGCTATGAATTGCATGTCTATTTTTCTCCACCATGTCATCTCTTGTAGTTGGCCTTGTTTGAAAGACTAGGTCTTTTATCCTTCCCCACAAATAGAAGTCTAAGGAAGTTACGTCGGGTGCCCTAGCTGACCATGGAAAAATACTTCCTCTTCCTATCCATTTGCCAGGATAATGCAAATTCAAGTACTCTCGCACATTTACCGAGAAATGTGCCGGGCACCCACTGTGTTGAAAATACATAGTTCGCCTGGTTTTCAATGTTACCTCTTCAAGGAGAGTCGGTAATTCATCCCTCAGAAAATTCACACACATCTCATGATTAAGGGTTTCATTAAATATAATGGGACCAATAATTTCCCCTTTGACTATGCCGAACCAGACACCACAGGTTGTGATAAACTTTGACAGTTTTTTACGTGGTATAGTGTTTCTTTTGTTTCAAAGCCAAGTTGGATTAGCATAAATATTGCAATTAACATTTGTGAATGTTCGTATTTTCGCAATATCTCTGATGCTTAGGAAACAGATATCAAAATGCGGTTTTCCCTGATATTTTCACTTTTTCATCTTATTTGATAATATCATAAGTATAATAATTATATCGTTCCATTTGAAATTTGCAAAATACCCTAGAAAGTGTATGTTAATGTCACATGGCGCCCTCTACCACTCATCACATTTACTAAAAAGACTATTAATGTAAAATCTGATTCCACGAAGACAGTTCTTTCCAACAAGGCCTATTATGTGAAAATCGGTTAACCTAAACCGAAGCTATATTCGATTCCTTTAATAGATGTTCTCCTTCCCCTAACCCTCATATTTTATGAGGTAGAGCAATATGTGCTGCATCAAAATTATGCAAAATTGATACAAGATTGCTATGCATGTTTGTTGGGAATATTTTAGAAAAAAGTAATTTTTCTACTTAACCACGAATCGTACGCCCTCTGGCGGCGAAGCTAGAAACTTGAAAATAATTTCCAGCGATTTCTCTTGGCCCCTTTTGTTAACAACATTTTTTTCCCGAAGCTGTGCAATTAACGGTTCCATATGGCCTGTGACCATTATTAATGGGACACCCTGTACATACAACCAACAACTTATGGAAAATTACTCCCTCAATTAAATTAAACTAAGATTCCTTCTCATATTTAATTTTAAGTGGGCATTCACCCCCATAACAGCTGTAACGCAACATAACAACATTTAGAAAAACTACAAAAAAATTATTCAAATCATATGTAGAAAAAGAAACTAAAACTAAAGATTATTTCGAATTAATTATTGGTTTGCAGCTTTTTAGCGATTTTTTTTTATAACAAAAAATTTGCTCTGCGTTTAGTCCATCTGGATCCACTTCTGCCGTGTTGAACTACTTTCAGGAGAATGGTCCTAGAGTCCTGGAATTTATTTAATAGGTAGCCCTATACCTTGAAGGTTTGCCAGACGGCCATCAAATTGTCTTAATTACCCCTTATCGTGGTCGGGTATAATCCTTAAATATCAAGAACAGATTGTCAGAGGAGGGTACTCACAAATGGCTAAACAGTTTTGGGGAACCCTACTAATACACATCAGATTTCGGAAAATCGCCTTTATATAATATGCTAACTACTTTTTTTGTAGGAAATTTGATACTCTGATTTTGCTCTTCCTTTGTTTTTAAAAAAGTGTAGTTTTGGAGATATCTGCGAAAAACCGTTGTAGGCATTGGTGGGGATTCAAGTTGAGGCAGATTATTGAAGCTATTTTTGTTTTTCATTTTTCGACCTATAATACCTACATTGAATTTATAACTATCAAATTCAATGATACCTCTTATTAGTTGTTTTGGTACAATAAAAAAACCTGTTTGTGCATTTTAAGTGTTTTTATTTATGAACTTTCAGTAATCCGGCATTCTAAATTCTTTTACAAAAAGTGCAAAGATGTCTAATTCTAACTGAAAGAGAATGTTAATAATAAAGATGGAATATTCAATGAATTAAAAGGAGAAGGTAGAGAAAGAAAGAGAGAGAGAGAGACGAGAGATTTTTTTTAAGGAGAACTGTACTGTTCTTTTCCTTTTTCACGATCATTTGGAACAAGAATCAGCTAGAGAATGCAGGTCTTGTAGATACCAGTTACTTTAAGTGCTTCATCAACAAAATTCTCAATGTAGAACTGTACCTTAAAAGATCTCATTTCCCAACAAATCTTTATCGAGTTAAAAACATATCCCAGGCTTTTAAATTATTACCTACAAAATTTGTCTAAACAATTAACACCAACAGAATTGATGGTGGTCAAAAATATTGCAACCAAACCAACATGCATATCTAAAATCTTTTCTAATTGGCTGTCTATAAAACAACGCTATTTTACAATAAAAAGCATAAAACCAGTGTCTTACATTATTTAAAAGAGTTATGCCGTTTCACAAATGATTAAGGTTAATCAGTGATTAAAAATATTAGAATGGGAAACAAATGAGCGTATAATCAAAGGTGGCTAACATTCTAATATGTTTAATCATTAATTAACATTAATGATCGTTTGTCAAACCGGGCATTAAAAGCACCAGGACAAAATGTGGATAAAAGCACTCTTCTAAAAAACAATCGCTTAATGATATGTCTTGAAGGGTAAATCAATCAATAATTATTAATTTTAATAAACAACATACAGAAACAATTGCAAAATTAAAAAATTTCAGATGCTACTACTTATAGAATTAGCATGTCTACAAATTCATTGCTCCTCTGACGATTCGTTACTACTTTCTTCCTCTTCATCATCCTCATCATCTTCATAATCATCATACTCTTCGTTGTCCCCAGTATCGTAACTATCATCAGGTTGATAATCATAATCTCCACTGCTACCGCCGTAGTCTTCCAAAGTAGCCTGCCCTTGTCGCCCAAACTTATGGCTTCGCGCTAGAATTAGTCGCAACATTATAAACGCAAGATATAAGTGTAATATTTACTTGACATGCTGAGATCTTTTGTTTGCGATGTATCGTACCCACACTTTGGGCATGGCAGTGCTTTATTTTTTTCATACTTGAACCCTTTCCTGCGTACGTGATCTTCACAATAGCACGTTTTGCATCTCAAACACGAGTACTGACCCAATTTGTTACAAGATTGGCCTACAAGGGATAGTCAAAATCAAAAAAGACAAATTATCGTTAACTTACACTTGTAATTCTCAGACTCTAAAACCTGACAAGAGGCCTGATGTTCAAATTGATCGTCCTCGCAAAGCAAATTTTCACAAAATGAGCATTTGAAAATGCGACCGCCGTGATCCCAAACCCCTCGTTCGCATTCAACACATACAGAGTCTTGCAAAGGACACGTGCAAGCATGCGACTGTAAACAGCGTCGTCCATGACAAACCCATGCCTCACAAAAATCACAAATCGCTCCCTACAACACAATCGATACACATGATCTTTAATAAACGACGTACAATCATATTTAAGCCAGTTGTAAATATTCCGGGATGACGTATAACGCAATCTCCCGCTTTCGCCATGCACTTGGTCTTGCCGCATTGTGCGCACATTGGAAGTCTCTGTAGGTTTTGGCAAAAATAGCAAAAGGCACGATTTTTCTGCTTTCTGGAATTAAAGCTGAAATAGTATCAAATATGTTGATAATGTGGTAAAAACCTGTTGCACTTTTCGCATTCCATAACGGCATTACAAGGGTGTTGGGCTAAGCCTATGTTATCCCTCGAGGTACGGATCTCCTTCTGCCTTAATTTTTGCTTTTCCGCTTTTTTCCGTTGCCCTGTTTTCTTTTTCGGCATTCTGTTCTCTTCTTTTTATAAATTTTTAAGGTTATGTATGTCACTGTCACTTTTCAGTCAGAGGTTATGCCACTGTGGTTATGCATTGAACTATACAATGTCAGTGGCGTACGTAGAAATTTATTCTGGGGGGGATTAAACAAGTTCGTGGCACATACAGCCACCAAGTGCGTACTAGAAGGGCGGGGGGTTGGGGGGGAAGAAATAGAAATTGGTTTGCATAGGCGAAAAAGATTAGATTAGGACGGTATTTTATTTCTTACTGCTGACAGGCCCCTTTATTGCTTTTGCTTTAATTAGTCAACGAAAACTTTGAATAATAGTATTTATTTATGGGCAAAAAACCAATTTCGACAAAAAATTCAAAGGGCTGTAACTTTTGATCTAGTAGTCCGATCTGGAACTGTTTGGAATTATGGATTCTACAGGCCACATTCTATAAGAAAATATTTGTTTCCGGTCGATCTGAGACAATTTTTTTTCTGGGCAAAAAAAAAGGCAGTTATTACCTTCCTTTTTTACCAAAAATCGACTGCACCAAAATTTCTCGGGAAAAAACTTTTTCTTATTAATTTGGGTGCGTAGAATCCAAAACGATTCGTACTTTTTCGATTAGACGTCTCCATCAAAAGTTATGGGCAAAAAAATTCCTGTTTTTAAAATTTAAAATTCTTATTTTCGTCATTTCGTGAAAGGCAGGACGCAGGTACCTCACCTCAGTAGCAGTACTAAGTACCTGATACCTATTTGTTATTTTGGGCATCAATGTAGCGAATTGCCGATCGATACCGAATAGCCAAATCGTTGACTGCCAACACTGATCACTCACTGAATAGTGAATACTGAATACTACAGAATATTTAGATTTTAGTGACTTTAGACTTTAACCAAAACCAAAATTGCTCTCTATATATACCTATATATTATTGCCTTTATTTTAAAGTGGGCGGAGCGGATAGCGGAGTATTACCTAAATACCTAATAGCTATGATGATAACTCAATTCTTCTGGGGGGGGGGGGATATATCCCCTTCATCCCCCCGTAAATACGCCACTGTACAATGTGTCCCAAATAGAAGGAGGGTGGTGCCTCTCTCTAATACCAAAAAGGCCATGCCCTTCTCTGGACTGCACAAAAGCCACATAAGAGCGGCCCTAAACCAGTGGAAGGAGATGAATAGGATTCGTCACAGGCAGAGGGTACCACTCAATACAACTTTTAATCCAAATTTGAGCACTAACAAAAAGTCGAGCCAATCAATAAATTTTTTATTATTTACGTAAAATATTTATTATATACTATTCATTCTACACCATTCACACTAACACAAATAGAGCTAACAAAGAGTGCATCCATAATCTATGCATTCTAAAAATAGGTATTATATATTCAGTACGTTATTTGTTCAACATTAAATATTAAAGTTTGTGATAGAGCGAGTGCTTTTATTTAAAAAAAAGGTAAAATCCTGTATCAGGTATTTCGGGAATATTCCTACACACCAAAACGTAATTTTTCCATCTAAACATTGTATACTTTTGTGATATGCACTATAAAAGTGTAATTAGAACCAAATATTGGTAACGCAAGTATTTTTTTAATCGTACAAAGACATAACAACGAGAATCTAACTCCATTAACAAAACATTTCAGATGAATATGAATTAAATAACAGAGATGAAGCCTAATGTTGTATAGCATCAAATAATCTCAGTTTTTGATTGTTTAACCCATAACGCATGCTGCACAGTTTAAATGAAAGCTTCTAATAAGCTACAAGTACAACTATGCCCAAATTTCTAACAAAATTCAAAACTAAACATTACATACATACTATATTCGTATGGTTTCCTATAAGATTAATTAATACTCTACATAATGCTTGGAATAATATACATCCTCATGAAATGATATTCAAATCTGAACGGGCTGTGCCAATACACTTTCCTAAAACTACCAACATACGAGTACATAAAAATGAAATAAATATTCTTCCAATACAAATATTACTACCTACTTTAGAGAGATTGGTGAGAAATTAATTGGTGTCACCTATTACCTCATTTTGTCAGATGAAGGTAATAATTCAACTACAATTAGCTGCTTAAGATTATCAAAAAATTGACCAACAAGAATGATTTAAATTTCTGTATTATGAAATAACCAACTTCAATAAAATATACACGCAAATTGAAATGTGTCACTTCTCACATTTGTTTACAACAATGTTGAATGCCCAATTAGCACATAATAAGCAATTTTGTCTATTTCAAAGTGTGTGTAAGTAGTAACCCTGAATTTACATCACTCATTATGACGCGAGATTTTTGCACAATTAACAAAATAATAATTAGTTAGTTATTTTAATAGCTCGGTGAGTGTGAGTTCTTCTTCTACTTTTACGGGCACTCCGTAGTCGTATGGACGTCAGTCACTTATGATCCGTTTGTATTTCTTTGCGGGTGGTTGCGCGTCGTCACTTTCGAAGTTTTCATATGCAAACTGTGGCAAAAATTTTTCCAATTGTTCGTCAAAAAATTTCTCTAATGTCTTCGCGTCAAGGTACACTTGCGTGTCTTCCTAAAATAATCAGTGATCACAAAACTCGCAGTACGAAGAGAAGGGTTACCTCGTTGTAGTTGTAGGCGTTTCTAAACATAAGGCGTACATCTTGGATTAGCTCTTCAATGTGCGTGTAACAACCCACCGATGTCCAATCCAGTTTGTGTCTAATGGAATCCAGAGCAATGGGCTTTTTAATAATATTGTGGTATTCTGTATTCTAAGACAGAGATGATTAGTTATTACTGTGGGCGACGACAGTCTTACATACATCTAATCCTATAATTTCTCTAAATGGTAAGCTCTGCTCGTATTGACAGTATAGTTCAAGTACAAGACGTTCGGCTATCTTACGTTCACGAGGCGTTAATTCGCCTTCTTTCCTTTGATTTGCTGGTACTTCTGGAATATCGGCGAAGTTTATACAGAGCAAACACTGCCATGTATCGCTTTCTCTAAAATAAAGTGGACAGTTGTAATACTTTACTATAAAAACAAGACAACAGTGTGCTTATAATTTATAGAGAATAACAAAATAGAACACAATATCCTGTTTTAGTGGAGCACAGTAATATTTTAGGGAATGTATCAACTCCATGGGTAATACAAAAAGAGGATATACCACTCTTCCCTAATATGCATGTTCACTGTGGTTAATTATTCTTTAAACTACTTTCAAAATTACTTAACTTTTATTGGTTATATTTCACTCATAATAATTCAAACATGGAAAAGAATTACGTAAATATATTATGCAACCATGCTTATCTTATGCAAATTATGTGTAATGTGAGGATTCTTAAAAACTATGTGAACCAATTAATATTTATAAAGATCCCAATGTGCCAAATTCTTGACAGAACAGCTTTGTAACTGAAGCCAAAAATCTTGCAGAAGTAAAAGAAGAGAAGAAAAATGGCAAGTGTAGGGTGATAGTTCATTACTTTCCGAAAAAAATTAGTTGCTCTACAATGTTACATAAATCATTTTTTGATATCCGCGCTAGGTTCCGGAATAATCAACTGTCTCAAGACAAATGGGACATACTGTATTTAAATGAGTTAAGTGACGTTCAAATTAAAATTACAAAAGTTTACAAACTTTACTGCAACTCACAAAAGAAATGACCGCTACACATCAATTCGTCTCGCTTATGAAGGTGCAGCTAAACCCCAATAAATCGTCCCTTGAAACTGATATATTTTATAACCTGCTATTTATTTTCCATCTGTTCCAAATTCCATTGTTATACTCAGCCAAAGATGAAGTGTACCCTTTATTAAATTAATAATTCTAATTAGAACCCGACAGTCAATAATTTTTTTATGCTACGTTCTCTCATAAATACCCCGGGTTCCACGCTATTGCGAGTCCACGCGCTTTTTTTTACTTTTGTTTGTGTTTATTACTAATAATTCATTTATGAATAAAAATGGAGATTACTATTTAAAAAAACAGTTGTATGACAGTTTTACATCCTAAATTATGCCAAATGTGCACTACCAAAATTTAAAAAAATCAAAATAACGGTTTTGCCGAAACAAAAATTTTGTTATCTTATACACGGAGAAACATTTTCTCTCACCTGTATGAGGACGGGAAAGAAGACAATTTTAGCAATATTTCTTTTTATATGAAATAAATCATTTAATTACGGTACCTACCTATTCTATCTTCCCTGAATTAGAATAGTTTCCTAATATTCAAACAATACAAAACACATTTATTAACCTACTAGATCGGGGATTTAGTGTGCCCTGTGCGCTTTTGTCACCAAGCATAAATCCAGCCTTAAAGAACAGCTTAACCTATAAATTTGTCTAAAACATGGACCCTGCATAGATTTAAAATGTGACCCGTGTGATTTTTTCACCAAGTACAAATCAAATTTTAAAACACATTTGGACAGGACCAGCAATAATTTCATGAACGACAGCAACCTAAACCCCTTTATGTTCTAAGGAAATAATACGCCACACGCCAGTGAAATACTAGGAATGTCAACTCAGCGAGCGTGATCGGTGATCTCTCTCACATCAAGTTCGCGCAGATTACAGATTAATTACTGTCAACAGTTTCTTTTTTTTTTCTTGTTTCTTTATCTTTCCTTTACTTTCGAGTGTATCGAGTTTTTGTTGTTTTTTTTTCGTTTGTCAAGGTCAATGATAGAACGCTTGATGCAGACCTTTCTGCATTTAGGCGAATTGATCTTTTTGGCTGAGATTGTTTAGTTACACACTATATATACGTCTTTTTTTTTGTATTCTACATATATTCAGTCAATAAAGTACAATTATTATTATTATTATTATTTAGTAGCCGTAGGGTACATATTGCAGGGTTCGCAACTGATTTTAGCAAAAAAAATAGAGACTTGGTCTCTATTTACATGTTTAAAAATAGAGACCATTTAGAGACCTTGGAGAACCAATTTCCATTCGAAATTAAGCAGAAAATATTTAATTTGTAATTTACATAAACGGCAATATCTCTAAAAAAAAAGAGTAACCATTACAACGTAACTGCATAAACGTTGCAATTTTAATAACAATTTAAACAACAAAACAGCATAAAATGGATACATTCTTAAAATACTTATTGCCGCAGCCAAGGCCGTAGCCAGGGGGAGGATCACAGGGGATCAAACCCCACCCGAAATATCGATGTTGTCCGTAGTCGAGAGTCGAGTAGATAAGCCGATAAGCGGATAAATTTAGTATTATAATAAAATATTCTTTAACCCCCCCAAATTTTTTTTCTAGCTACGGCCTTGGCCGCAGCAATTTAGAAGGTATAGGCTACCTACTGCAAAAAATTCCAGGACTGTAGGACCATTCCCCTAGAAGTAGTTCGAAACAGCAGGAGTGGGTCCGGGCGGACGGACGGACAACACGCAAACAATAGCACATTTTTTTTAATTCTTAAAAAATGCGCTAAAAATGTACAGTAAAATTTCTGCGGTTTATCAATTATGAATTATACTTTTTTAACATGCAAAATTTAGAGACTTTAGAGACCAACTATGAAAAACAGAGACTTTTAGAGACCAGCATTGAAAAAAGAGACCATTTGCGAACCCTGATATTGACAAGTTTATTTCACAGCGAGTTTGTGACAAGCAGAAATCTGATTTACCCCAACTTCACAAAGAAGCTCGAAGAACAAGCTAGTGGAAAATTGTCCACCATCGTTTTTTTCTCTGTGGAGATGATCTTAGGAAAACAATAAAATTGGCTACGAGTTTAGGAAGCGTCAGTAAAGACCTGAACATGGTTAGACGCACTAATTTACCTGCCAGCCAGAATTATAACTCGCAAGGCCTGGTCCCGTCAATGGGGCGAGACAAGACCACACAAGGGACAGCCTTCCAAGGGAGTACGTCATCACATAGGAGGGATTAATATCGCTGAGAAAGCAGTTCGCTGGACGTCTCGGTCAATTTTACGAGAAGTGGCCAGATCTAACAAGGAATGCAATTCTTTTAGATTAGTTGCGAGTGTGCTCACAATTTATCCTGTTCAATCACAACCACCCTTTTTCTGTTCTTCAAGGACGACAAATAAGCATTTTTAGGAAAAAAAAATGCTCACCTATTGGATTTAGGTGCGATGGAGAGATGTGACTCTTTCCCGGACCAATTATTTCCAAAATATTCTTAGTGGATAAACGCAATGGTAAAAAAAGCTTCATTCTCAATCTCAAAAAATTAATTTATTTATCCCTGCTCCCTATTTCAAAATGGAGAATGCTCAAACTGGAAGAAGATTAATTCAAGACGGCTATTATTTGGCTACTCTAGACCTGAAAGAGGCATTTTTTCTACTTCCGGTGCACAGGGATCATAGACAGTACCATTTGGCCTAGCTTCCGCTCCAAATACTTTTACGAAGCTAATCATACAAAACTTACGTAACAATGGTATACGAAGAGTAAGATACCTGGACCATTTTCTACTATTGGGTAGACCTAGGGAGGAGTGTTCCCAGAATACACTAATGACAATACAGTTGTTAGAATCCTTAGGTTTTTTTATCAACCTCGAAAAGAGCGTTCTTGCGCCTAACACATTTTGTAAGTATCTTGAACTTTGTTTCATTCTATAAGAATGTCAGTAGAATTGCCAACGGAAAAGCGGGAAACAATCGCCTCTTGGATTGACTCTCTTCAAAAGCACACAACTCAGACTGTACGTAAAATTTCTGTTCATTGGCATTCTTGTCTCAGTCTGCCCAGACGTAAAATACAGGTGGTTATACACGAAGATATTCGAACATGCTAAATACTAAATTAAAACTCTGGAAATTACAGTGGCTCTATACAAGACAGTGGCGACAATAGATGTCTTATTTTTGATTGGTTGTTGAATCATGTGGTATGCGGCAGCCATTTTGTGGCAAACTTTCAAATTATTTACTTATGTCACCTCATTTAATGACATGTTACTGTAATGTCTTGGTTTCCTTAAGTCGTGTTTATTTATTAGTTTTGCAATATGTTGTTGAGTTCAGTATGAAAAAGACAAATTACTCCTACGACACTAATAATTATACGCTTTAATGCCTGGCTCAGCCCTGGTACCCACTCCTTGTGAAATTGACTGTAGGCGAACTTCTCTTTTTAAGACCTAGGTGTAAACTTTTGTTCAGTCCATTCAACGGACACCACCACACATTATCAGCAAACCTTATCCTGGAAGTATCGAGGGAGGCTTTCCGAATACCGAACAATTCTCCAGTTCTTCAGCTGATTCCTCAGTTAAACAATATAATACAACACTAAAACTTTAGTGGGAATTCTGTGAGGGACAAAATTTTTCTCTATAGGAAAGTAAAGTAGTAAAATCCTCTTTATACTAAACTACAGGAAATATGTAGATATGGATCCTAACCTCAAAACGTTTTTTGAATAGGATCTCTAGAATTAGACCACAAAGGCCTAGCTACATGGGATCCCAACAGGTGCTCAAGTACCCCTGATGACAATCTAAATCAATTATCTCAAAAACTGGTTACTTTGCTAGCTTTGGCAATAAGTTAAAGAATCCAAACCATTTCGTTGATAAAGTACAGCAATTTCAAGTTACTAGACTCTGCCGTAAAAACTGACTCGCAGTAACTCATTTTTGATCGCATAGTATCAGAATTAAGACCGGTTTACACTAGTTGTACTTGAGTTGGATTGGTGCCCCCCTTTGGAGTGATGCTGATAAGAATTTATGCTTGCTTTTTATACTTTTTGATACTACACTCTTGAGGATCATTCAACAAAACTGTTTTATGTCTATTGTTTCAACATCTACAGAGTGTTACAAAATGATATTTGGCCTGGACGCGAAAATATAATTTAAAAAAAATTTTTTTACTACGCCACTTCTACGTAAAAGTATCTAAAATAGGCAGTTTTACTTTTTTAACGCATTTTCCACCTCATGTTGGAAGGCACTATTATGGCCACGTTCTCCGTCTGTCCGAGGCCTTAACTACTACAGTTTTCAATATTTAGTTGGTTTTTTTTGCATTCAGTAGGTCATAGCTCTAGCACCTCAACTAAGAAATCTTGACAATGTGCGCAGATGTCAACTTATTTAATTATAGATTTCTAGTAAAGACAAGCGTATCACATATTGTAAAAATGAGATGTGAAACTGAGCAATGTCAACTTCTTACATTACCATTACATGACCTTTTGGGAAGTACTGATCAATTAATGGAAAGTACGCTACAGTTACTTGCATTAAGGCAAAAACCTATTTTACATTTTTAACATCCCCAAAGGTCAAACTTTTCGTTTTCACCTTGTATCTCAGAAACGAACGTAGTTAGATTTATTCTGTTTGTGGTATTAAAAGGATCACAAAAAAGTAGCAAAAGGTCGCGAAAACCGCAAGTCTCTAACTTTAAAAAGAGCAGAGATACACTGCAGTCTTAACCAATATAGGACACAGCAGCCGACTGACCAACTCTGCCTCCACATTTTGGTGACTGGTTATCATAACTTTCGTTTATAGATAATATAATATTTGTATAACAATTTTAAGCCTTAGTAAATTCATTTAATTATCTTGGCAGTTATGACAGATTCGGTGGCGGACCTGTTCCCACTTTCAGTTGACCGACCACAGTATGCTTGTGTACACAACCACTGTAATGCTCTTATACAAAGACCGTTTTACGCCCTGGTTTTACTATCATAACCAGATTTGCAATGTATTCTTTAATGTGTAGGATCAAACATGCAACATGGACACCATAGGGACTTTACTGTGCTCCGATTATTGAAATATGAGTACCTACGCTAAAAATAAAAACCAGCAAAAATACAGCGATGATGGGAATAATGACTATTGTCTTTTTTTGTGACTTATGTAAGTAAAGTAGCAGAAAACATGTCAGTTCTCTATTAGATGATTTTTAGCGTGCCATCCGTAATTCCTTTTGCAAGGGCTTCGAGCCTTTGGAATAAAGCAATCTATAATACCAATTTCAAAAATCTGGTATAGTAACTGAGGGTACATAGAGAATGTAACAATAAAGACAGGATCACACCAGGTAAATAAACTAATACGTACTCCACACTTAAGTTGGGTATATGACAAAATTGATGAAACACTTTCGGACATTTGTCGCAGCACACCAACTCCCCACCATCCATACAAACGGCGCACCAATCTTCATTGGGATCGTCCTTCCCCGTCTCGTGGGAATCAGTCTTCGTTTGTCCGTCGTCGGTCGAACTATCGACGTGCGGTGATCCGCCGGTCTTCGATCTACCCTCGGCCAGCACCTGAACGCCGTTCGAATCCAGCTTTGCAATCGTAGCCATCAGATCATTGACGGAATCCTGGCAGTATTTGTCCAAATTTCTCTCCGTGTCCGACTTCCCTTGAATGTGATTCGGACTGGGCGTTTTCGGAATGGTCGATGAGACGGCCGCCGGTTTCAAATCGGCCTGATTGTGAGATTTTAGGGTGATCTTAAAGTTATCGTTCAAACCCGGCAGGATTTGAACACGGTTAACTGTCATGTTGTTTAGGTGACTTCCGATGTTTTCCGACGCGATGTTATGCTGGGGTATGTGCCATTTGGCGCTGGGGACTGGCACCGGTGGTGCAGCCACATTCGTGTTAAGTCTTTGCGTTGGCATTCTGTAGGTCGGACTTGGGGGCATTACGTTGCCTACGTTGTTCGGTTGTTGCTGTCGAAATTGCTGTAACTGTTGGGATGAGCCAAATCTGTTTTGAAACTGTTGGGCGAATTGGGCCGGTTGTACTGCCTGATATTGACTTGGACCGGTTTGAACATAAACCGTACTGGCATTCGGTTGCAATAAACCGCGTAAGTTTCCACGTTCGTGCATTAAGCCTTGAGGATGTGTAGAGGATGACACTTGCTATTTGGAAGTGTGGAATGAGTACATAACATTTACACGAGCGTTAAATACTTACTTGTTGCTGCTGGTGGTGATTAAGTCCGGTATTTGGCATACGATTCATTGGCATTAAAGCGCGACTCATAGAAGGCCTTTGTGGTAAAGGTAATTTTTGAATATTCTGCTGCAGATGTTGTGCAAGTGAGATAGGAACTGAAGGTAATAGCGCTACATTTGGAGCAATCTGTGATGGTCTTTGTCCTAATAAAATATGATAAATTTATTAGACGCGATAAGTACATCTTACCCATGATTTGCATGTTAGGACTTTGTTGAATGTTGGGGTTCGATTGCATATTAAGGTTTGGTACGCTTTGAGTAAATTGAGAATATGGTGGGGGCATCCTCGGTTGCTGAAAACCGGATTGAGGCGGTTGCTGATGTGGTTGAAGTTGCTGTTGGTTTGATTGATGATGTGCTTGCTGCTGCTGTTGCTGCGGGGAATGGTGAATTGATTGTGGTTGCTGCTGCTGCTGGTTTAACTGTGGAACTTGCTGATTTAACGGCGATTGTTGCTGTGGCGGTCTTGAATGACCCGGACTAGGTGAACCATGCGGTGATAGCATTGCTGCTGGGGATGTTGATGATGTCGGATATACACGTCCATCGACAACAATTTGCCCAATTGTTTGAATAACTGCCGAAAAAAGACCGTTTAGTAACTTAATGCTACTAATTGTGTTCATAGTCCAGGCTATATATTTTTGTATGAAAAAAATTAGTTAACGGGCGAAACCGGGTTTTTCAGGCAGGTGGAATGAATAGAATTTGGGAAAAAATAATTAAAACAGCTGAATTTTTCCGCGGGTGAAATCACGGGGGTTGAAAGGGGTGGAAAGTGGTATTTTGCAAATTGTGGTAATGTAAAAGTTATAGAGATTAAAAAAATGAGCAACTTTTGTATCTGCACTATTTTCACATAACCTCCAATTTTCCTAGAAAAATCGGAAAAACTGATTTTTTCGTTTTTTATTCTTATTTTTGCAAAAAATGTCGTAGGGGTTTGAAATTCGGAGGTAACATAGCCTGTTTTATGATAAAACAGAAGATATTGTTTGGGCCCATAAAGTTGAACCGTTTCCAAGATCTCACGATTTCTGAAAAAAAACCACCTCTTTTTCAAGGGGATGAAAAATCTATTTTTTTCATCGTACAGAGGTGCGATTTTCGGGAAGACATATTTTAATAAACAAAAATAAAAAAATATTATTCCTATAGCAAAAATTCGAGAAAATCGCCAAAAACCGTAAAAACAGATAGATATACACGGTTTTTGACATGATAAATCATGTTGGATATTAATAAAGATTTTTTCGAAATCTGTCTTCTTCCTTCTCTTTAATGTTTGCCTAAATATTCTCTTTTGTTATCTTATGCTCAACTGTTTTAGTTAAAACATCTTTATTATTTCTTTTTTCTGCATTTTTACCGCAATAAAAGCAATTCGAAATAAAATCGAATTATGTATCTTGCTTCCTGATTCTTGAACAATTTATTTTTGTTCACTGATTCTTCTTCCTGCTTGTTTTATAGCTGATGCAATTGCGTTGGGCCTGTTGATAAACTTGCAAAATCTGCAATAAGAACGTTGGTTTTACCGGCCAAAAGCAAATGATTTGAGGTGTCAAACCTGCAGGAATAAACTTTATGAGGATTTTATTCATAATTCCTGTAAATTAACGATCAACAGGCCAAGCTTAATCCCATCAGATGTAAAACAGGCAGGAAGAGAGAAAGTGAACAAAAACATATTGTTCAGGAAGCAAAAGAATTCGATTTTACTTCGAATTGCTTTTATTGCAGTAAAAATGCGTAATAATAAAGATGTTTTAATTAAGGCAGTTGGGCACTGGGAAACAAAAGAAAATATTTTAGCAACATTAAAGATGAGAGAGAAGACAGATTTCCAAAACTTTTTATTAGCGCGTTAATTTATTTGCAAAAAAACCTATTTACCTCGCTATTTACCTACTGTCAAAAACGGTTCCCCCCGTTTTTGCCGCTTTCTTGAAATTTTTCTATTGGAATAATATTTTTTATTTTTGATTATTCAAATGTAAGTCGTTACGAAAATTTTGCTACCCTGCGCACCTCTGTACGATGAAAAAATAGATTTTTCATCCCCTTGAAAAAGAGGTGATTTTTTACAGAAATCGTGAGATCTTGGAAACGGTTCAACTTTATGGGACCAAACAATTATCTTCTGTTTTATCCGAGGTTTTATCATAAAACAGGTTATGTTACCTCCAAATTTCAAACCCCTGCGACATTTTTTCGCAAAAATAAGAATAAAAAACGAAAAAAACAGTTTTTCCGGTTTTTCTAGGAAAATTGGAGGTTATGTGAAAATAGTGCAGATACAAAAGTTGCTCATTTTTTAAATCTCTATACCTTTTACATTTAACATTTTCGTCTAAAATCAATAGTTTTGCCTCAATTTGTAAAAGACCACTTTCCACCCCTTTCAACCCTCATGATTTCACCGGCGGAAAAATTCAGCTGTTTTAATTATTTTTTCCCAATTTCTATTCATTTCACCTGCCTGAAAAACCCGGTTTCGCCCGGTAACCAATTTTTTTTTGAAAATAAATCATTTTAGAGCTATTTAGCCTGGACTATCAATTAATAATTACCTGACGAAAGTCCTAAGAAAGCGATAAAAAAGTGCAATTATGTAACTACCTTTGTTAACAATTTATGAACTTCAACAAACCTTTAATGAGATCAGGAACTTTATCCAACGCCAAATGAATACGAACAGGTATTTCGGGATTAGGAATGTCGGCTCTTTTACACTTAACCCTTTGTAAATGCATCGTTACTTGACGCTTACTATAAAGTAAGGCCATATCGCTTCCATTGTCAAGGGCGTGCTGAGTGAAGTCTATACAATGATCAGTCATTTTCGAAAGTTGATCCAAAGCAACTTTTTTCTCTTGCAAGGTTTTTTGTTTTTGTTCGCATACCTCGGTCAATCTTCCAATTAATTGCTTCCCTCTCACGTTAATTGTATTCGTAAGTCTAAAACGGTTAAACCTGAGTAAAGAACAAAAGTGCAATTTTACACTTACTTTACTACCAATTGAGTTATTTCTTTAACCAGCGCCTGCTTTTTATCGGAAATAAGCGCTTGGCGATCATCAATCACTTTCATAGCACTATTTAACAGTACACGCTTGTAACTAGAATTACAATATTAAAGAACAGAAATTACCAAACCTCGGTTAAGACCATACCTCACGTCTTTAAGCATCGATGCCACATATTTACGGGTATCCGAGGCTATTTCATGCGTGAATTTGTACTTGTGATCACGGTGTTCGATAAGCTGACAATCTCGACATGTTAGTTTATCACAATTTTCACAGAAAAGGGATAACTTTTCGTGAGGATGGACTGTGCAATGAAGAGTTGAATTTGCATTACTCGCACCATTCTGATTGTCTGTATAACCTTCCTCTTTTGATTTAATTGTGTGATCCTTTGTGATTTTTAACCTGAAAAAAGGAACATATTAAAAAATTTTATGAAATCTTTTTAATAAATGAAATTGTTTATCATGGGGCCAATCAATTTCAAATCGCCCAGGCAGAGTTGCTGAACATTTTTTATTTTCCTGGTTTTCAAGTCATCGGTTCCCTATCACAAAGGCAATCACAAACCACTATTTGAAAAAATGTTATAAGCCAGTTTTTTCTGGCAGCCATTTTTAAAATGGCAGCTCTGCTAAAAGCGGGCGGCGTGTTCTCATTGTGCCCTTCGTTTTTTTATATCCATTGGGGTATCCTTTTCGTGTGAAATGCTCTTCTGAGAGGCCAACTCCTAATGTTTTCATACAATGCTGCATGTCATGACCAGAGCAACTAAAGACTACTCGGTGTGGGATTTGGACTGGCCATCCAATATCCAAACTTATTATGTCAATTTATTGTAATGTTTCAATGACTTTTTTTTGTTATGTGTGTCAAATGTTATTTCTTTACTCTTTAGGAATCCCAGTGGAGTCTGTGATTCGACATTATATTAATTTACTTGACAATCATCATAATATGCATTCATGTCAATACAGACAACTAATTTTGCTATAAAGTTCAATATTAATTTGTTGGCTGGTTTTTTCTTGGTCAGTTTTTTTTTCCCCAACCTATTGTTATATTTGTACTCGGTGAACTACCATTTTCTAAATTTAATCTTGCAATGCGAATTATTTGGATTAAATTTCCGTTTTTAAAGCACATACTTGTTTTATTTGTATTCCATACTTGATCCTTACTCCGAAAGGCAACACATATCATATAGATTGAGCGATTGGGACGTCTGGAAGGAATATATTTGGTGATGTCAAAACTTTAAGAGCGATTATCTCGAAAACGGTTTGTCGGAGGAAAGTACAGTCAAAGGCACAATGAATCGACTGGACGACACATATCTATTGGTGAAGTCGAAGGAAATACTTTGACAACGAAAGGTCGGATGAGGGTACTCATAAAAGGCAAGTGGAATGTCAAAGCTTTCAGTGAAAATATCTGCAGAATGGAGTGTCTGAAGATTTTGAATGTATGCCAAGCGGCCTTTAAATGTTTATGTTTAAAGAGCCTCCTCCCCATTGTTTATTTTTATTATTATTATTTATTTTTTTTTATTTTATTTTTATTATTATATATTTATGAAAGATTAATGAACTTCCTACTACACCACAAGATCCTGGATCCGCACCAATTTGGTTTCCGAAGAGGATTATCCACCGAAGATGCAGTCCTCTCATCTGTAAGTTGTATCTTCAGAAATCTAGAATTAGGGAAAAAAGTCACTGGACTTTTTTTTTATTATTCCAAAGCATTTGATGTGGTAGATCATGATCTCCTTCTATACAAACTACAACACTACGGAATCCGAGGTATTGCCTACGAATGGATAGTATCTTATTTAACCGGACGATCACAGCTTGTTTCTATAATGGCTGACGGCAAACAGTACAATTCGTCACAGAAGGAAGTGTGCATTGGTGTTCCTCAAGGAAGTACTTTAGGTCCCTTACTTTTTGTAATTTTCTTAAATACTTTGATAGACGCTTTTAATAACAAGACTGAACATTTGACTTTATTTGCGGACGACACTTCAGCATTAATTACTGCTGATACGGTACGAGCGTCAAGTGAAGATGCAAATAAGTGCGCGTTAAACATGAAGGACTACTGTAACTGAAATGGACTAATATTAAACAGTACAAAAACTAACTTAATGACCTTTTCCACTCAAATGCCTAATTACAGTCTTTTAGTCAGACTCGAAAACAAATGTACCCCCCAACATCAAACCCTGAAGTTTCTGGGTATATTTATTGACTCTAATTTCTCGTGGCACTCACATATCGAGTATTTGTGTAATGTTTTGTCCAAAAAATGTTACGTGCTTTGGCGCCTCTGTCAGTCTGAAAATATTACTTAATTATTATTATGCCCACGTACACTCTCTAGTTTCCTATGGTGTGGTACTTTGGGGAAATAACTCTAAGCTCAACAGCATCCTTATCATACAGAAGCGAATGCTACGAACAATGTGTTACAAATCTTACAGCTATTCATGTAGGCAGTTGTTCAAAGACTTGCATGTGCTTACAGCGCCCTCCGTTTATATTTTACAGTGCGCCATCTATGTTCGTAAACATAAAATTCACCTCTCCAACAAGAAGCAGGACAAATATGAACTAAGAGGGAATGACCATATACCGCTACCGGCCCATAAATATACCTTGTCAGCAAAAAACTGTTATATTATGCCTATAAGAGTATACAACAAATTGCCCAGTGTTATTAAAAGCATTTTATCTGCCTCTCACTTTAAAAATGCAGTGAGAAAGTTACTAATTGCGAAAAGTTATTATTCCCTAAAGGAATATTTAGAGGACGTATTATAAAGAAATTCGCATATGTATGTTAAATTCTTTGTTAATTGTTTTTACTTGTTGTATTTTGAGTTGTAATGACATATCCCACAACGCTTTAGTTCAAGGGACGAATAAAAATTATTATTATTATTATTATTAATCATCTACCAAGAAAGTAAACATCGATAGCATGCTACTACCTTATAACACAATCAATTAGTAAGCTATTTCGGTTTAAAAAAATGCGCATTATCTGCACAAGAGTTGTGCACAATTTATACTTGTTTAATATTTTTTTCGCGACATAAGAGCTAGGAAAACCCGACGCACTATTGCAGGACCCTGTATAAGTAAATAACAAATATATAAAACAATTAAATGTTCCTTTAATCATATAATACCTTTTAGTGTTGTAAATAAAGTACTGATCATTGCAACATTTTTTATGGCATTAATTTAAAAAAATGTCGATAAAATGGTTCTTAGTCTTCGTGAGATCTCAGTGGGTCATGGCAGTATGGAAACAGGATCTAGTAGTACCCGGCAGTACACAGAATTACTGGCAGGACAGGGGGAGTACACCAAGTGCTGCTAATTTCGGCAGTACATGTACAAAAGTTTGCCCAGTGAAATACCCCTCGGTCAGCACATTCTCGAAAATGACATCTTTCAGTTTTTGGGGTGTACCTTCACTATTACTAGAGTTTTAAAGAGCATAATGAGAACCAAGTTTGCATGGTCCTTTTTTCCTATTTAAATCAAAAATTCTTCCATTTTTTAAATTTCAACCCCTATTGCAAATCAGCATCAGATTGCGAACATTGTAAAACACAAATTTATTAAAAAATTAAACAAGAACTATTTCATTTATTAGTCAATTAAGCTCAATGCCAACTTAAAATTAACCTTACCTTTGATGCGCTTGAACGCAACTGTCACATATGTACTCAGAGCAATCGATACAAAAGCTAACTGCAATCGCATCATCACTGCAGCTACTGCATTTTATTTCAGTTGCCTTCGTGGAATGGGAATCTTCGCTCGAAGCGAGCTCGAGAAGAAATTGATTGTCGATCAGCTTATCAGGATCGCACATTAAACCGCAAGCCGCACATTCAATATGAGCTAAAAGCACCAGTAAGAATCTAACAAGGTACCGAATCAACACACTTCTCACCTTTACAATTTGGATTAGTGACGGATTGCTCGTAAATTTTATTATTTACACAACTTCCGCACGCGTTGTGCAGACATTCTAAAAGTTTTGGATCATCGGATGCCGTTAATATGCGATCACAGAAACTACACTTAAAGATGAATGAATCGCCGGTTGTCGGACTTTCGACATCGGCCGTGTCGTCCTCCTGCTTCTCTTCGACTACTTTATCTTCTTCAATGGGATCATCCATGTTGTGTATCTCCATTAGCTCATTGGGGTTGGGGAGACCCAAATCTTCGTTGGGGTTTAGAATAACTTTTTGGATGCCCCTGTTATGGTCCTCGCTTGTTTCGATATGTGGTAGGGACAAAAAGCCCACATCGTCACTGGCTTCTGCCATTTCTGTATTCTAAAAGTTAGATTTTAATTAAATCAAATTTTAAGGTTATTGGCAAAACTAGTACTTGTTGATCGGTAACTTAATTACCTGTTATTAGAAATCTGGTAAAGAAAGTCCTGACACACTACATTTAAATACACCAGGGCTTTTCTTCTAATTCCAAAACTGAAACGGCACCAAATGATAATTCGGCACGTTAAACTCGCGATGGTAATTTGGGGATTTGGGCATCGCGAACTCAATTAATTTTGAAGTCGTTATCAGCCGATCGACGCCAACTCCCGTCCACAATTTTTGCCTCCATTGATTAAATATTGAAATACCAACCTACCAAAACAAAAAAGAAATAAACAAATTTCCCCAACTGAAATATTCAAATTTTTAAAACGGCGCTATTGCTTCTATAATTTATGGAACATGAACAAAACAGTATTACTAGCACTTACTCGTAAATGAAATCTTTTATCAATAGATAAGACACACTTTATTAGCCAACACTACCTTTGATAAGATCTTCCACTTAGATTTGTGCGTCTAATTTTAGAGTTCCCTAACATTCCAAGGTCTTAATCCCTTCAGTTGATTAGAAATGATGAGTACCTATCTTACCCTTTTTGAGGAAATCAAATACATACTGAAAGTTTTAATGCGATAGACTATTTTCGACCTTCGATTGTTACTTAAAATAGATACCTATGTGTTTTTTAATTTGAGGCATTCCTTCTTCAGTTCGACAGCTGGAAGTCAAAAAGAGCCATACTCCGTTTTTTTAAATTAATTTATAGATGTATAACTGTAATCTACACATTTTTCTGGGTATAGATTAGATCTGAAACTTAAACAAAACTTGTATGTCTCTTTTACACTTCTGCACAGAGGCGAATAAATTCCCTTTAGGCGCTTTCTAGGACTCTCAATGGCCAATTTAAGTAACCACAGAGAGCCCGTAAATAATATAAAAAAAACAGTGGAAAACGCTAAAAGTTGATATTTCCTGGAGATTTCATGAACTATAAGGCCCTGATGGAAAACACTATTATAGAGTCATTTTGAGGCTTTCTACTTATAATCTTTTAAGGGATTTCTAAAACCTTTAAAAGGTGGACCTGAGACAAACAAAACCCTACACGTAGGAACAAATTAAAGCAAACAAATAACAAAATAATCTACCTAAATCCTACTCAACAAAAAACATGACATAAGTAGGTACCTATCTATATGAGAAAACAAACTGGTAGTCTGAAACTATGATAACGACATTGGCAATCCCTCTAGAAGACTTTCCTATAGGGCATTCTATATCTTCTGTCGAGAGTCTCTCCGAAGCTTTCAAGGCTTAAATGGTTCGAGGGAGTGCACAGAAGGTTATTAAGAGTTTTAGAAAAAATTACTGAAATGAACGTTACATTTTCTAGACATGTGAAGTTGTAAAACGGGCCTAAAGAACATTTAATGGGCGTTGTCTAGTGCTATTTTGCTAGATGCACTAGAGAAAACTTTCACAAACACTTTTCACGCACTCCTCCACGCATTTTTATCGCTGATTATAATAAGCTACCTTGCTTTTAATCGCTGATAAAAATTTACCTGGCTTTTAATCACTAACAATCATTTGATTGATTAGAATTTGAAACAATCATCATGCTGATTGATTAATCCTTATTTCCATGTATATATAAATGGTATACGACCATTTGTATTTGAAATTCTATCTATTAGATAGGATAGTGTCGCACCGCTTCAATAAATAAATAAATAAAACTCTTTATGCTTTCAAAAGTATTCCAATGGCTTTTATGAACAATCTAAAGTCCGTTTAAAAATTTGCTAAGGAAAGTAGGATCCCTCCGTTTGTTTTATTAAATTGCATTATTGGGTCTTGAGTGAACCTACATTAGCTAAATAAATTTAGAGATATATCTACAGTTCAAAATGGAGTAGGAGAATGAGCTTGATGACAATCATCACTTTCTATAAGTACCTACAGATGTGTAATATGGGTATTACATTGCAGTCAATCCCAGCTCTATTATTTTAATGTCATTCCTCTATTACACAACAAAGAAAAATAACGCCATATTTTGTTTTTCAAGATGTTGATTCTTAAATTACATTGTTAGTTACAAAGACACAATCATTACTTGTCACTAGATTAAAATTCTATCTAGATATGATTTTGTCTACTCAACATCCTCTGGTCTAACTGGATTTTTTAAAGGAATGACCGATTTTTGCTTAACATCCCTTGAGCAAGCTTTTCGCATATCTATAATCAAACTTTATAATTGAAATCATTGTAGGAACACGGTTACCATAAGCATCCTCATCTGGATCACCCGAGTAATATTCTAAAACCGTACGGTATACAATATATCCCAAATTGGTGTACATATTAATAGCAACTTTGTTGCTCACTCTCACAAACAAATCAACAAAGTACGCTCTTTTCCTGCAAGCAACTTTTAATTTACTTAAATCATGGGATGATGGTTACTTTTCAGATACATCTTCGAGAAAGTTCATCAACGTAGCGGCTACACCCAACCGTCGATATTCCGGTGATACAGTTAAGGCAGTTACGTGGCCATGCCAATTCTCACCGTGCCCTTCAGCTTTACCCATAACTGCAATGTGAATTTACAAAATTATAAGTTTCAGGTTACCCGTACTCACTGTAGCCCATTATCTCTCCACTTGGAGATTCCGCAACTTGAAAATACTCTGGCCAATGGGCCAAATATTGCATGTAAAAGGATAAACCGTAGGTCTCGGTCAGAGGATCCAGATTACTAGTGGATAAATGGATGTCAGTTATTCACTACGTAATGTCCTTTTATACTTACACGTTATTAAATTTGTACATATCATTACAGGTAAAAGGGCGTAATGTGGTCATTATTAGCTTTTTCTGTTTAGAGGTGGTGGAAATAATCTGAGGATTGTGAGGTTATAATAAAATTATTATGGCCAAAATGTAAACAAATCTTTTTTTATACAGTATCATTTGTCATACATCACATTGTCACACAATGTCATACATTTTGATAAAATCTTATTTATAAAAGGTGGAAGGCGATCATAATTAGTTATGTTGTCTATACAAAGGCACTCAAAATGCTCACAATTTGCAATGAAATCAAAAAATGTCCCTGTGTAACAGTATTATACATAAATAGATCCAAGTGTTTTGTGTTAAGGGTGTTGCCTAACCAATAACGTTTCCTACGTAAGACTTTATTTTTGAGTGGGCGGGGTTTCAGCCAAGGCTGCCGAGTGATGTCATGGTATACACAGCCGCATTTCAACTGAACTGTCAAATCAAACTCTTTTTATGTCATATTCACGTGGCCCATCAAAATAAACCAAACATCACTGCAGATACCGATGTTTTCATAAATTGCGGTGACCTACATGGAATTTGTTAAATTTTAGTAGTCCATTATTCAGTCAAAGAAACCTTTCCTATCTTAAAAATGTTATGTTAGGTTATTATATCTTTGACAACGTCCAAGGTTTCACTGACAGTAGTGCAGCCTTATCCTTTGTTCTAAAACAATAAAATAAGATAACTATGATAAATTTGATGTGATAACGGTCTCACTCCTTTATTGAATTTCGGTGATATAACTGTGTCGCAACGATGATGCTCGAAAATGAAAAAATCGCACAGGAAAGCGACGAGATTCAAGAAACACAGAACGGGGAACCGTCTGACGTGCAGTACCAAACACTGCAAGATCTTTGCGAAAATAATATCAACTATTTCGTCAACGACAACACCCCTAATGGACAACGACTACATCAGTCATTCGTGGCTATCAAAGAAGCAGTTGAGAACGTTCGGCCTATAATTATCGACCTATATAACATTTCACTAAAGTACAACTTTGAGGAAAATTATCCGGCGAACGGCTATTATAGTTACATATTAATGGTGGAGGGCACCATTTCCCATCTAGTACAATTTCATAGGAAAGTGTGTTTAAAGCGTCATAATATTTTATTTCGGAAATCTTCGTACGCAAAGTGAGTACTATATTTCATAGATTTTCGCTAATTGCTTGTTCTTAGAGAGATGGAGTCGTACGTAAGTTTATTAAAAAATTTAGTTACTTTTGGAGAGGGTCTAAAGCTACTGAGACTAGCCGAGAAAGACGGTTGTTTAATTCTCGACAATTTACCCGAAGATCTGATTGCCAAAAGTAAAGAGATCGATCAGCACACTTTCTATGGGAGAAATCTCGGGTTTCAGGTATGTAAATTTGCTTTGGGAGGAAAAACGGCCAATGTAAGAGAAATTTTTCCACTAAAAACTAATAATTAATGATTTTTTTTTGTAAAACATGACCTTCAATTCTTCAAGTACTAATTTACTCATGAATTATTCTTATATAAAATCATGTAAATTGCTAGTTCTTTTTGTAATACATAGCTTTATAGTTTGATTACAACATGATTATACAAAGTACTCCAACATTTCAAGGATGTTATCATGTCCTATGAGGTCATTAAAATAAGATTCATTTTATTTAAATACTATTTTTCTGTGGTACTAACGTTTTTAGCCTTGACATTGTAATTCTATGCCATTACATATTTACTTCACTAGACAATTTTAATAAAGTAGGTACACAGGGTGTACCATTATAAAATTATTTTACAAAAGAGATTGGCGAAAAATTACACAACCCCTGTAATTTGGTCATTTCTCTACTTTAAAAAATAGTAATCATTATGAATTTACAAAGTGAACTTGAATTACAATTGAAGTTTGCAGTTTAACTGCTATCCTGTACATAGGCCACTTTCCTAAGTACTTCTACTAAAGGTAACCTTTTTACGCTTCAATATAATTCATTGATCTATCTATATAATGTCAAGGATAATGTTGATAAATTATTGTCGTACTGATAGTACAGATATACGTAAAGATACATATATTTGTGCTGATTGCTATCAAGATATGGGTTGATAAGAAAAGGAAAGTACTTATTTTTTGGCCATTATTCTTATTCCAAACAGTTGTATTACTGAAGACGAGAATAAAGGTTACTAAATGCAGACCAAAATAAGTCCTATACATAGTTTCCCATATAAATTTATTTTCGCCTTTTTGTTTCCTAGGTACTTAGGTAGTTATTGCCATCACCGTTTTTTGGACATGTCAAAGTTTCATCAAATGTCGACGTTTTAGGTCATCTTAACCGATTTTTAAAGAATAAAGGGTGTCTCAGTAAATTTTGACCCCTACTTACTTGTTTTTATTCATTTTGGGAACACAAAAAAGTTTCAACTGTACCGTCTGAAAATGCAGTAACTGATTGAATTCAATATACAGGGAGTGTCCAACAAAATACGTTTTCAATATCTTTACTGCGACACCCTGTATATTTTTATTAGTAGTTTCGACTATTCCCATATTTCCTGATTACAAGTATTGTATAATATTAGTGTTTAATTGGGATTAGGTATCACTATTTTTTTTTAAATCTGATTTTAGAGAACTATGAATTACAACTGCAAATTTTGATATTTTGACTTTCAAGGCTGTTTTGTTTTTTTGAACCCCCCACAGCTCCAAATTATAGGCGGTAATTAATTATTTTAAAATTAATTGGGATCCAATCTCCCTTAGTTTTGTGAATCCGTACGACCTATGCTGAGATTTGTCATGCTGTCAATGGCCATCTTTTCAGAAGCCTTCTACAGTCACGGTAATCTTTCAATTTCCTTTAATAGGTCTTATTATTACGAAATTTTTAGGATCGATGTTCTCGAAAGCAAAAAATTCTGTAACGACGACGGCCAAATACATATTAGATCCGGAAGAACGATCGAAGCGAGTCATCAAGATCTTTCAGTACGCCCCGGTGGATTTTTGCAAATCATTTTGGTTTTTGTCGGAAAGCGAATTAATGAAGCAAATGCCGTTGGTTATCGGGCACTCTGTTGCGGTGTCGAAGTTAATACAGATACCGCCTCAGCCTCTAGTGTTAAATACAGGCGATGGAGACATCTCTGTGCCAGTTCCTTACTCGTATATAGGTAGTGTTTCGTTTTGCTCAACACACATTTTTTAGTGTTAGACGTTTTCAGGTAAACGGCCAGTGCAGGTTCGATTAATTTCATTTGAAGCAAGAGAAGGTATGATTGGAGAAGTTGGTACCAAGAACAAGTTGCACCCTGCTAGTAGAGGTATGTATTTGTTGCGCATTTGAAATTTTGTGTTTGCATATGTTTATTAATTACGGGTTAAGCCCATTGTAAAGTGTAAGTGAACCCTGTATATCGGTAATGAAGTGTTTGCGGATCTAGGTTTTATATATACCTATACTCGTACTTATGTCAAGGTGGTTTTCAATTTTGAAATGAGCATGTAAAATTTGGACTATGATTTTTAATTTTTGATGAAAAGTCAAGAGGTTATATCACTACTGTCCACTATTACGTGTATAAGTAGATAATATTTTCATAATAATTTCACCTTTGAGCATTGATTTATTAATTGTTAAAATGTTATGTGTTATTTTTAATTGATCATTTTGAATTAATTATGTTTTATTTTCAGCTTTTATCTTGTTGCTTTTTTCGGATGTGCAAGAAACACCATATGTTTATAGTTTTATTCCTTTTTTTTGCAGAAAATGGGTAATCATAAATTACCATTCTATTGTGATAACATAATCATTTATCACATGATAACTTGATAAGCTATCAAATTATACAATAATTTAAGCCTTTCAAGTCAATAATTTATTGAGATTTGGGAGATAAGTAATTTTAGATTACCGTTTCTGAAGGGAATTTATTATTATTATTATTGTACCAGAGGTGGTCTTAGTCGGTTCTTGCACTGCAACCTTTTGGTCTATTGTGCTCCTCGTTTCAAGGATACCACGATTTTGACAAGTTACAAGTGGTTTGGCGGGTCGGTTTCAGAAGCCTCAGGCAAACCATAGTGTAAGAATAGAATAGTGAAACAACCTTACGGAAAAAAAAGGTAACCAATTTGGACATCGAGATTTTTTAGTTCTGGACGCGACAGTCTGAAAGGGGGGCGCAGAAGTCGTGGATTTTAAAAGTAACCGAGGTTACAAACTCTTAACAATAAATTGCCACTTTGGCGCTACACGAGAATAGATGGCGCGTTTTGCAAAGCGAATTTACAGAGGGAATATTAACCTACTTTTACCTCATTTTAATGCGTAAGAAAAATAAAGAGGCAAATTAATCCATGCAAACATCCCGACAATAATGCTCCTTTGTTATTACATTCTCGAGTATGTCAACTGCGTCATCACATTCTACAGACCTCGTTTAGATAACCTCCTTAATATTTCAAATGTTAGGTACCTACTTAAATACTTATAGTAAAACTACGTTTAAAAGTTCACTGGCACCAAATTCGTATTTTTGCGCGCATGTATTTATATTTTTCCCCCGAATATACGAACGTTTAGAAGTAAGCAATAAATAATTTATAGTTCTACACGTGGCATAATCATCTAGATTTATGATATGTACTAGGTCTAGGCGAGGGTCTAGGTAGTCACGTTGTTGGAAATTCGCAGAATGCGGAATGTAATTTAGGTACCTACTCATTATTAGTGAAACAATAATACAGAATTTTTCTGAAGACGTGATGAACGCACGCAAAAAAAATTCATTCCTGTGTTATTTAATTTACAATGTGCGAACAATTTAATAGCTGTAGGCTCATCTGAACTTTACAATTTTATTTCGAGTTATGGATGCGTCCCACAAAGTTCTAAAAAAAACCTTAGAACGAGTTTTTTGAGGAGGGTCTTCTTTAGGTGGTTCCAGGGCGGTTCTCATTGTGCCAAAGGTGAACTTCTTCTGAATATCATCACTAATCCTACAGTCTTATTAATCATTAAATTAGCTCCCTCAAAAATTAATACAAAGGGAATTTCCAAATATGCAATTCAAAAACAGTAAAAACTTAAAAATTAAAAACTGACGCGTTTATAAAGTCTGTAATGCCATGAAATTATGAAATCAAACAAAAGCGTTTGCATTTCCCATTAGTGGGCTTTGTTTGATCGCAAACTACCATGGCACCACTGATTTGCTTAAAAGCGCCAGTTTTTAGTTATCCAATTTTTTGGTTTTAAAGTTCAAAAAAGCCATAGTATGCATGGATTCGTAATTTTTTTCTCTACAAAAAATCTAAATAGACTTTATCTCTAAAAGAATTAAGGAAGTCAATAATCAGAAATGAAGAAATTACTATTGAATTGCCTGCGATCCTGCACTCTGCTCAGAACAAAACTACCGAAAAAGTTCTTAAAATAGCCATTTCCCTATTTTAAAGATAGTTGCAAATCTTTATCACAAAAAACTTTAGTGCCATTGAAGGGACACCCCACATTTTACACAGAACTTAAATTCTACGTGAACTATACGTCTCTACATAAGGATTTTTTTCGTACCCATTCCTCAGTTTCAAAAGCAAAAATTTTTCATAGTTTTCTTATTATATATGTTCCCGACCTTATGAATTCGCAAAACTGCAGGAAAACCTAATTCGGAGTAGCCGGCAGAATACTCTAAACTGATCTAAGGAAATTCATACACCCGACCTCCGACTGTATAAGCCCAACACTCTGCCACTGAGCAAAGGAAAAGACAAATCTTGATACGAACAGTTTTAGAACGATTGTGGCGTTCTCCAAAACAGGCAAAGATCTCAATCTTTACAAGAAAAAATAGTTGTCAACTCCAACTTCCAAGAGCGACCACAGGAAGTAGGTTTTTGGGCCTATTTTTTAGAGAAATTTTGTAGTTCTGTTTAGAGTTTGGGATACTCCTTTAATAACTTTGAAAATATCAAATCTAAAGTGCAGTTTACTTTATGTGATTTTGCTTACGATTATTCTTTCGAGTTTTGTTAGTGGTTGTTTTGGTGGTTTTCTGTTTACATTATCGGATTTGCTACCAACAATTACGAATATGTATAATGGGACCCGAAAACATTACAACTCGCAAGAGAAATCCTAAGCAAAATCACATAACGTAAACTGCACTTAAATGTAAATGCCTAAAATTGTTTTGATAGGCAATTTATAACAGGAAAACTAGTAGCGATTTAGTTGACACGTTATAATAAGAAAGCTGTAGAAGATTCTTTTGTATCTGAATTACCTTGTTAATTTTTTTTGTTTTACAACTTTATTTTGCGTAATTCAAATTTCAAGTCTTTTTACGCCCCAATCACGTGTCTATTCTGGATACATTCCATGATGTTGATACAATAGCTTGGCTACTTATCTGTCTAATAAATTAATTGGCTCTGAACCTTACAATTAAAAGATTAAACGCCGGTTTTTCATCTTACCGTTGAGGGTGTATGAGGTACTTTTATTAGTAACAATAAAAGTTACTTTTGGAACTCAAAATAGAGACATTTTTCTGGTGAAATGTTGAAGTTCCAACCGGAACCGGAGTTCCTTAATCATTACAAACCGTTCTGTAATGAGATTTTGTGATACCTAAGAACAAAAAAAGAAAGATGCTTTTTAGTATTTCAAGAACAAAATATTGGTGACCATGTTTAGAGTTTCGAGTATTTCCTAAACAGTCATAAAAATTGTATAGCAACTTGTAAAAACAGATACCTACTATGTTTTAAAAGCCACTTTATTAATAGTGTTTTAGATGAAATTTTCTGTGGCTAGCACAGGCACCACCCGCACACCTCCGCATGCGCGTTATGGCCAAAAGCTGTTTAGTCGTTTCTTTTAGGTCTATAAGAATATGTGTACAAAAATTGGTTCCAATCAGTTCAGCCGCTTAGTCGGAAATGGGAATACAGACCGACATCATTGAGATTTTTTTTTATTGGGATTGCTGGTGTATTTCCGTCAAAAAAGTAGAGGTAGTTTTTTTATCCCAATGCAATACCTCCCTCACTAACGTGCGGGTGGTAATAAACCTCCATATAAGTATCGTACGTGTAGCCTGAGCGTACGCGCTGGCTTTGATATGAGCTAACCGATTTGTCTGTTTAATGTCGACAAACTGTAGCCCTTAGCTAACTGTTTCCGAAAACAGAATTCAAAAATTCGCTTTTGTTTCCGAATTATGGCGCGGTAAAAAGGAAGGTATGCCGATAGTCAATTTGAGGAAAAGTTGCACAATTAACCAGGTAGGTATTTATCATGCTCTAAAGAAAACCAGAAAATTCCTATTACTTCCGGTTCCGAAGATATGCCGGACAAACCCAAATTTCCAGATTTCGTTTTCATTTTTTTTTATGTTATTTGAACAGATACAAACAAGTATAAATTGTGCACAACAACAAAATCTGAGACCAATTGATTGTCGTATGTAAAAGTTATGCACGTTTTACTTTTAAAAACAGCATCTCCGGAAATAATTCGTGGGGGGGGCTAAAAAATATATTCTCAACAATGCTACTCAATACAGTGTGTACTTTTTTACGGGTCACTTAAAAAATAAAGTTGATGATTATTTCTCCCAAACGAGACGTCTTGAAAATCTCTCAACGGTCTCTTTATAGGGCACAAAAGGTGGAAATGAGAAAGTGTTTGTTATTTTTTTGTATCTATTCAAATGCCACCAGAAAAAAATAAAAACGAAATCGGGAAATTTCTGTTTTTCTGACATCGGAATTTTTTGGTTTTCTTTAAAGTACGGTGGTTCTTTTCCTCAATTAGACTATCGTCATACCTTCTATGGTTTCGGAAATCCCCATGATAGACATCCTTATCTTGGACACAGTGTATATGCTCATCTTCGTTGCGGATCAACTATCTTGTGTTACCCAATTCGAGATTATGGAATTCAGAACGTAAGGTATGAGTTGTTCCGTATAGAGCTTTTAATTTTTTTTATAAGAAGGTTTATTATCTGACATTAAAACACAATAATGATTATGAAATTTTTGAGTTTTCGTACCATTTTTATACGAATAATATTTCATCAGCACAGTTTTGAAGCAAATTTTGGAATTTTGGAAGTGAACTCCAAAGAAGCTCCCATGCAAAAGACTGACGATTTGAACATGCCGCAAGCTTGAGCGTCATGTAGTCTATTAATTAATTAAACCATTATGTGCAATAAATGAGAGTAATTGTCCATTTTAGGGTTAATGATACATTGTCACGGTGGCGGGTTTGCGGCGCAATCTTCGCAATCTCACGAATGCTACTTGCGAGAATGGGCGAAGCAGTTAAACATTCCTATCTTAAGTGTGGATTATAGTCTGGCACCTGAAGCCCCCTATCCTCGCGCACTTGAAGAAGTCGTTTTCGCTTACACTTGGGCTCTCCAGAACGCGCACTTATTGGGAACAACAGGTACGGATATGAACTTTCTGATCAAATTGGCGATGTCTCTAATGATTTTGACAGCCGAACGAGTTGTTTTTGTTGGTGATTCCGCTGGCGGCAATCTCCTTCTCGGACTAACCCTTAAATGTTTGGCATTAAATCTGCCGTTACCCCAAGGAATTGTGCCAATCTATGCGCCTACGTGGCTTTCCTCGTTTGGCCTTTCACCCTCACGGTTTATGCTGCTAATGGATCCGCTCATACCTATCGGTTTTGCCACACGTCTAATAAAAGGTAAGGTGTTTTTCTCGTACCCTTAGCAAACAACGGATTGTTTTAGCTTATCTCGTGCCTGCCATCAGCAAAGATCCGCCAAAAAGTGATTCAGATACCGAGAGTTTTGAGGAAATTTCACAGTCAGATCTTGTGGAGCTCCAAGCGCATAAGTCGCCTGTTTCAGATGCCTCCGAATCGATTACCTGTGGTTCCCTTAGTTCACCGACAGCAGAAACCAAAGACACCATTAAACCAGTTGACATTAGCGAAATTGACTTTGTTTCCGAAAGTACCACCCAGACCGTTAACCCATCCGATTTTCTTGAGAGATACGTGTTAGGTAAATCTTCAGCATCTGAGCTGAAAGACGGAAGAAACACTTTTTGTTTTTAGATTCTGACACAGACACCGATGGTAACAGAATAGCAGTTTTAAAACAGGAAACTACAACGCAACAGTATGAACACTCAATGCACCAAAGACTCGCCTCTGTTGTTTCAAACTTGAGGCATCGCTTCGGCAGTTGGGTATCTACAAAACAAAATGGCGAAGAAATATTTCTCGACACTAGCAAACCGTACGATATATTAGAAGAATGTAGTCATAAATTTAATACTGACGCTTTTGCAAGCCCGTATCATGCAACGAATGATATGCTTAGTAGGTTTCCGTTAGTCAAATTGGTGGTAAGAAAACTACCACAATCTTCAAATGGTACAAACATATTTTTCAGACTACTCATTTAGATCCATTTCTTGATGATAATGTAATATTTGCAAATAAGTTAAAGAAATTAAACAAAGATGTTACCCTTGATGTATTACCAGGTTTGCCACACGGCTTTCTAAATTTTTCTATGGTGAGTAGATAGTTAGACTGAACTGGAACGCGCGCTCCGTCCCCCAATCCGATCAGGGAGAGACTGCCATATTTACGTTTCTATGGCAGGAGACCGCCAGTGCGCGTTCCAGTATAATAATAATAATAATAATGTGTTTGTTTCCACCAAATTATAAATACAGGCTAAAGCACTAGCGCGCAGCATCGTCGTCTACATGTTTTTCAATCACTATTGGCTAGAAATGTTACCAATAACGCTACCATTGGGTATATTTGAATTTGCCGCTCAACGCGCACTTGACTAGTGCTTTAGCCTGTACAGTTTGGTGGTTGGTTCTGTACAGTTAGAGAATGTATTTTTTTAGGTATCCAAAGAAGCAGAGCAAGGATCTAAACTATGTATTCAAAGGATAAAGGAAATCCTCGATCTAGACAATTTGCCACCTTTACAAACGAGTAGTTAAATCGTTTTAACGGAAAGGAGGACACGCCTAAGCCTAACAAGAATTTGTTAATAAATGTTGATTATAGTTGAATACTCACACTTACGTAAATATGTAGATAGTCATATTTATTGAACTTATAGAAATTGTCACATTTTCTGAGAGGTAGTATTATACGTACTATTATAACTATTACTAAAATGAACAATAATTACTACAATAACAGTCTGTAATTGTTAATAACTTATTATAATGAATTGTGGTAAACTAATTGCTCTTGCATCACAAACCTAAGTAGTTGTAATGTATATACCTAGTCCAAGATTACTGTGTAGATAAAGGAAGACGGTCTAAGTGACACAGTATTTTGAAAAGTTGTCAATACTTCTTAGAAATCTGAGATTTTAAAGCTTTTTGTTTCTCTTGTGTTTTAATATTGATCCCTTTAAAAGTGACTCCTTCCATTGTAATTCCTTATAAATTATTTTGTAGTTTGTGCTTTTGCTGATTTTAAAATCAAAAAATGTGCTAAAATAGCTTTTAAATAGAAATTATTGCAGTTTTAATTGTTGATAAATCCATCCTCGCTTTGTATTGTTCAAAAGGTAGTAAATAATTCAACAACAAAAAAAAACAACTGCAACGCTGGAAAAATCAGAATAAAAATTGCAATTTCACTGTTGCCACTTTTGAAGGGGAATAAATAATTTCACCTATCAGAAAGTGTATTTATTTTCTATTTAAAAATAACAAATTTCACTCCTTGCATTCTGAATGCAATGTTATTGGAGCATTATAAAATGTAGCTTTACTTGTTTGGTAACTCGTAGCTTAACAAAGTGATTTCGTTCCTTCTACTTTCTTAGATTTGATTTAAACTTTAAAGTGAAGTATTTGTGATGTTTTTAGTTTTATTTGTGAACAGTCAAAATCCACCAAGTCCTGCATCTTCATATTTCTGACTGATTAGAAAAGCGGTCCAAGGTTGAGTGACATTATTTGGACTAGAAAGCTTGATGCACTAATTCTGTGCAAGACCAACTACAGCTGAAACTATTTTCCCTTTTCAATTCAGATTATTTAGTTTCATTTTCAGTAAATCCTGTTAAAAACTGGTGCATTCTTCTTTTTTACCATAAAAACTGCTTGGTGGAAATGTGTCTGTTAGTGTAAGCTAGTTTAGATTCTCGTTCATACGTATTACTAAAGTCTAGGACGTAGGTAAATATGAACATTCCAAAGAAGTAAAAAAAGAGCTAGTATCCATTTCTTGTCCAAATTATTAAATGGCTTGTTAAGTATCTTAAATGAGACTGATCGAGTGCTGGCTTTGTATAAATAGTTCTTGCGCGCCAAAATGGAAAAAAAGTTGCCTATATTAAAGAATTTTGATCTTGGTATATTTTAATAGAAGAATTGTGTTTTATGTCTGTAAATTATATATAATATTTATTATATTAAAGTACTTAGAACCTTTTATTGTATATATTTATTTAAAATGTGTCTCTTCTAACAAGACTTCAATATTTCTTTAAATTTTACTGCTATATATTGATTTTGATAGTTCAAAGTATGTGAGTTGTGGTCCCAACACAGTAGACGGTCGGTAATGCGGCAGATATTTTAGAATGAAAAAAGATATTTTAAAAAAAACGTTTTTTTGCATCCTTTATGCCTAATGTACACTGACAAAATTTTAGTTTTTTAACTTTGGCGTTGCTATTTGAAAAAGTTTGATGCCGAATCGACTAGTTATTGAAATGTGTTTTTTTCTGCGCCTATTGGGGACATGAAAGAACTTTGTGTTTCGAAATTGGTTTCTAGCCTATAACTTTTGATTGAGAAGTCTGATCGAAAAAGTACAAATTGATTTGGATTCTACGCACCAAAATTAATAAGAAAAAATGTTTTCCTGAGAATTTTTGGTGTAGTCGATTTTTGGTAAAAAAGAAAGGTAATACACTGCCTTTTTTTGAGCCCCGAAGAAAAAATTCTCAGATCGATCCGGAAACAAATTTACTTATAGAATGTGGCCTGTAGAATCCATAATTTCAAACAGTTCCAAGATTGGGCTACTAGTTCAAAAGTTACAGCCCTTTGAATTTCCTTTCGAAATTGGTTTCTAGTCTATAACTTTTGATTGAGAAGTCTGAATAAATGGCAGTTCAAAATGTACGGAGTCTTGCAAGATCTGTGGAGCAATTGTAGTTTAAAGGCCCGGTTTTTGAATATATAGATTAAATACAATAAGTACTAGTGCGCCATCTCCATGGCAATCGATACACTTTCTATCAATTATAGTTTTAGAAGTCTAGTTGAGATGTCGCCACGTACGCAACTTCTTTTAAAATTTCATTTGAATTTATGCGATTAATAGCAACGTTGCACTTATTATTCCTTAAATGGCAGTTCAAAATGAACGGAATCTTGCAAGATCTGTAGAGCAATTGTAGTTTAAAGGCCCGGTTTTTGAATAGATAGATTAAATACAATAAGTACTAGTGCGCCATCTTCATGGCAATCGATACACTTTCTATCAATTATAGTTTTAGAAGTCTAGTTGAGATGTCGCCACGTACGCACCTTCTTTAAAAATTGTATTTGAATTTATGCGATTAATAGCAACGTTGCACTTATTATTCCTTACATGCAGTGCCATTTTTAAGTTTTCCGGGGCCCTGGGCCATTCCTTTGTGGAGGCCTTCCTTACCCTCAATAAAAACGGCAGATTGGGGAGATTCAAGCAAATCCCTAATTTGAATATGGGCACTCGATATTTGTGTAGCCTGGTTTGTAGGCAACACATCATGCTCAATGAACAGAAAACATTATTTTTGCAATTCGTAACTTCTTATGCATAGGAGTTTATTTAAAGCCCTTGGAAGAACAATTTCAATAACAGGTACATTAAACTGAACCGTTTTACAACAACTTTCACACGAAGATCGCACAAACAACACATTTTTTCGTGATTGCAAACTGCCTACTTAACACTTTTGCCTTATTTCGCTGCCAATTTCACTACCGTTTCTATAACCGTAGTTCTATCAAATAAACTCTAGGCTCAATTCTTTAAAGAATAGCTTCGCACCATAGCCAGCTGCTGCAATCATGTAATCGTTCCGATTTTAACCTTGAGAAGTTGGAATTGCATTAGAATGGGTTTTCTGCGAGCTCTCCATGGTGTCCTCCTGTTTTGGTTACAAAGCATTTCCCTTTTCAATTTGTGTTGTCTGAATTCAATGCTAACGTTTCTCATCCATCGAGAACTACATGTCTTCGATTGCACAACCCAGAGCGAACAGTATCATATTCCGCAAAGGTTGAGTCTGCCGCTTTCCTGTCACTCCCAGTAGCCAGTTCCCTAATTTAAACCTGTAAGCGAGAAACGAATGATAACAAAGTTTAATTTTTGACTATAAAATAAACAATCATTTATTATGCATTTGAGGTTAAAATTTCATATATCTATGGTTTTTAAAACTTCGCTCTGACATCTAACGTTAATTACATAAAGTACATTACAAATTTAGTGTGGCGACATCTTTGAGGTGTACGTTCCAACTAAAATAATGGCGGTAATAAAGTGTCCTGCATTTATCGATAAAATGTTAGTCCCCAATAATAAAGACAGATGTCAGCACAATGTATTCTGCTTTGATTATTTTAATATTAACCAAAAACTCAGGCAAGGCTATAAACATTTTGGGATTTGTGCCTTTCGCTGTCAAAGGAGTAAACCACGAACCTCGAAAATTATTTCGCTCCTGTATAGCCTATTCCTTTGCGTCATATCGTTTTTGGAATGCCAAAGGACAGGGCGGGTAAACGGACAGCCGTCCGTATACCTCTTTGGTATACCTATACATAGATTTTTGACGATTTTAATAAAGTATCTGTGCGCCATACACAAGTTAAATCGCCATAAGAGTACGCCGCAATAAATAAGAATTTTAAATCGATGATCATTTTAAAGACTTGAGAGTTAAGTTTCATGTGAGTTAGGTTAGATACACGATTTGTAAAAATTTAAAACGCCCAAACTAATCTGACCTAACCTAACTACCACTCTAACCTAACCTTCAATCAACTCCTTGAACATTATCATGATACAAGATTTTTGACCTAACCTAACTAGCACTCTAACCTAACCTCACTTAAATTTTATTTTAACTTTCGATCTCCTCGCACATTATATTCTCCTGGTACCAGATTTCTGAGCTAACCTAACTAGCACGCTAACCTAACCTCACTAAAATTTTATTTTAACCTTCGATCTCCTCGCACATTATATTCTCCTGATACCAGATTTTTGACCTACCTAACTAGCACGCTACTATAACCTCCCTTAAATTTTTTTTAACTTTCGATCTCTCGCACATTATACTTCTCCTGGTACGCAGATTTCTGAGCTAACTATAGACGCTAACCTAACCTCACTTAAATTTTATTTTAACGTTCGATCTCCTCGCACATTATATTCTCCTGATACCAGATTTCTGAGCTAACACAATTAGCACGCTAACCTAACCTCACTACAATTTTATTTTAACCTTCGATCTCCTCGCACATTATATTCTCCTGACACCAGATTTTTGACCTAACCTAACTAGCACGCTAACCTAACCTCACTACAATTTTATTTTAACCTTCGATCTCCTCGCACATTATATTATCCTGATACCAGATTTTTGACCTAACCTAACTAGCACGCTAACCTAACCTCACTTAAATTTTATTTTAACCTTCGATCTCCTCGCACATTATATTCTCCTGATACCATATTTCTGAGCTAACCTAACTAGCACCCTAACCTAACCTCACTTAAATTTTATTTTAACCTTCGATCTCCTCGCACATTATATTCTCCTGATACCATATTTCGAGAGCTGAGCTAAACCTAACTAGCACGCTAACCTAACCTCACTTAAATTTTATTTTAACCTTCGATCTCCTCGCACATTATATTCTCCTGATACCAGATTTCTGAGCTAACCTAACTAGCACGCTAACCTAACCTCACTTAAATTTTATTTTAACCTTCGATCTCCTCGCACATTATATTCTCCTGATACCAGATTTCTGAGCTAACCTAACTAGCACGCTAACCTAACCTCACTTAAATTTTATTTTAACCTTCGATCTCCTCGCACATTATATTCTCCTGATACCAGATTTCGGAGCTAACCTAACTAGCACGCTAACAAACCTCACTAAAATTTTATTTTAACCTTCGATCTCCTCGCACATTATATTCTTCTGATACC